TCCATCAACCAGGGTGGCCTAGCAGTTGGAGATCCCATCGATGCCCAACAGTGCGCCACCAGGACGGTACTTAACAATGATATTTAACCGTTAAAGATTTACAGCTGTTCAACATTTTTCGAAAATATTTCTGAGATGTCACTAATGTCAGCACGGAAACCTGCGGTTTTCACGGAAATGATGAAACAGCACTCAGGATGCCACCAAGGTTGTCACATGTCTGGCTCAGGTAATCCAACATGGCTTGCTGGAACATCTACTATTTATAGAGGAGAGCATCCCTCAATGTGGGCCGCTCGTGGACGTTTCCGCCCAGTGGCAGGAGAACCAAAGTAGACCACATACTCCGAGACCAGAACTTCATCTTCCACTGCCGGCGACCAGGTCAAGACGCCTCCAGATTTGTGATCCCATGGTTTGCTGTCGATGGAAAGAAAAGCCCCTACAATCCAGAAACGAGTCAGAAATTTTCGTCAGAAAATCATGATCCTCAAATATCCCAAGTATCCCATCCCAAACCATCCCAACCAATCGGACCTTCCTCGAAATTCACGCCGTTTCGATTTTTCGTGCTCAACCTTCCAATTTCTCAATATCCAATGGCTTATTGGTGCTCTCTGTTCTTACTTGGCCCAACAAATGTGGCACCAAAACCTGCCCACCAATGAGCCTCCAAGATCAGTGAAGTCCAGATCGAAGTCGGGCAGAGACACGTTGGAGACCTGTAACAGGGCAGGACTCTATGGCTACCTTGGGGGTGTAGTTTCACTTAGTTGGTACATGGATTCTATGGATGTATAATGATGTTTATAGCACTGGCACTAATGATTGGAACTATATGGGATGATATAATTTACCATATGGTTCCAATCATTAGTGCTATAATATGGGATGATATATGAATGGTGATATAATGATATTTAATCAGACCCACTTGGGGGGCGCAGTTGAGGTTGTAGATTGGTATAACCATGGGATTTAGACGCCATAAGTAGGGATAAAACGCCACTTATAACTGGAACTGCACCCTGAAGTATGGGTCAAAATTGAACGTCACTTTCAGTTTCATATTATTATATACTCATCCAATCTAGGGTATATGTTTGCACGGCTCATTGTTCACTTAATATTGGGATGATTCTTGATATTGTTGTCATAGTTGTTAGATCAATCAATGTTTGTTGTTTAAATACCGATCTTCGTTTAGTGAATCCCCTTTAATCCTCACTTTTGTTGTACCTACCCACTGACTTGAGCATAGCGCTCAACAGGCAGTACCAAAGCAAAAAACAACACGATTTTGGTGTGATGTCACTGTTCGACCTTCTTGGGGCTTGCTATATTTCAAGAAGAAATGTCAGTAAAACAACACTTAACCACACCCACATCTTGATGGCTTATGTCACACATTCATGGTAAATGCAAATTTCAGGATGGCTTACTATTGCTTTACTAACAATACCCTCTGGTAATTTCACAGTTCGCTATTGAAGCCAGGGCCCATAGAAATAGTTGATTTACCTATTGTTCAGATGGTGATTTTCTAGTTCCCAAACTCTTATTTTACCAGAGGGTATAGATGATGAATGGGTTAAATCACCATTTATAAATTATATTAATGGTTCATCATTATATTAATTCCACTAATCCCAGTTATAATCCCACTAATCCCACTAATCATCCCACTAATCCCATTCATTCACCATTCATCATCTATACCCTCTGGTAATTTAACGTAACTATGGAAAATCACTATGCTTAATGGGTAAATCCACTATAAATGGCCATTTTCAATAGCTACGTTAAATTACCGGAGGGTAAATCTCATGAAGTGAAGCCCAGTGACCGAAGCGTAGGCGTCGGAAAATTGCAGGCTCACGGGAGTGCTTTGTTCTGCCAAGGCCGAACGGGTGTAGATCAACAGGTACTGATGGCTGGACCTCAGCAGATTTGAAGAACAAAGCCATGGTACCTATAGGAATGGAGATATAAACATTGTATATATATGCAATATATATGCTGTATAATAAATATATATATAAATGCTGTATATAAGTTATATATAGTTATATCACCATAACCATTGGGATATCAATGGAGACATTAATATCAATGAGGATGTTAATGGTATATAAATGGAGATATTCAAGGAGATAATGGTGAATCCCCAACTAAAATGGTGAATTCACGTGGGATATTCATGGGATATATTCTTCCCCACTCAAAATTGCAGAGAAATCCCCGTGAAAGCCGACCATTCGACATCCTTCCACCCTTCATCACGGAAAGACAAAAAACTGCTGCGTGATCCAAGAAACACGGCGGTCTCAGGGAGCATCACTTGACCTTGGATTTCTGCGTGGTAAAAGCATGATGTACTACACCTTTTTGCCTAGCCAGCTGTAAAAATCATCCTGGAAAATCTCCATCAGCCGAATTGTCAGCCAAGTGATTTGATGGCGATATTGGACAGGTATGGGCCACCAGTTGAACATGTTTGAAGGCCCAACTACAACCCTTTTCACCTTTGGCCTCATGAACCGCACATGTTGAACTCCTGGCTGGTTCTTCGCGTGCCCTGAACCAAACTTCTTCGGGACACTATAATACTCCAGCGTCGAACAACTTCAAGTGAACCAATGTTTTAAATTGTTTGGTTTGTTTGGTTTGGAACATGCGTTTTCAACTTTATGACAACCAACTCTGGTTGATCATGATTTAAAACAACCCATGTTTCTTTTATCCAGCACAGGCTCGGTGTTTCCCCCAAAACCTAGGCCATGAGCCCTTCCGTGTAGCATGGAGTGGGGTTCCATCCCTTGATGTTTTGGCAATCCCAAGTGTAGACACTCCAAAAGATCTTCAAACAAGTCTTAAATTCCGCTATAAATCATCTCAACTATATTGACTAAATGGAGGTTTCCAAAGTCATGGAGGTACCCGCATCCATGGGGACTAGGTGATCGCCAAGCGACTGGTTGTGTTCCGCGGTATGTCTTGGCCTTGCCGCTGGCCAGGGGTTGTCTGCATGGTCTGTATTGGGCTATGCCAAACCTGGATTAATAAACAACTAGGCTAAATATGGCTAAATAATCTATAGTCAACAGTAATAACTATAATCAACAGGCAATAATTTAGTCAATATAATAATAAGTAGTAGTACTGTGTATACGATAGAGTCAATCTCCATGGTCAATACTCAATAGTACATATAATAGTAGGACCATACTTAGTCGATAGTAACAACTAACAACTATTTGCAGTAATTCCTGGCGTAAAATAGTAATTATTTGCAGCAACTGCAGTTCATTTAATACTGTGGATGGAAGAAATCCTGCACTACCTTGGATGGTTGAAACATGTTGAGACCCTGTAAATCATAGGATAAACCACCTATTAACTGGTGCAGAATTTCTTCCATCCACAGTATGTTACAGTAACCCCAAAACAATAATCAACCAGGGTTTGTGAATCGGGGGTTGGCATTACTGGCAACGTAAATACCCATGACAGGGGGGGTGTCGGAAACATCCACATGGAAAAACATGGACGATCTTCGCTGATGTTGGCACTGCATTCAAGGGGTCGTATACAAATAAAGCAATGAGAAGGACCCACCATTGAGATTTTTTGTGCCTCTGTGTATCCAAATGAGAGATTGTCCAGGCCCAAAAGAAAACATCATGCTATCATCATGGCTGGTTGGTGGTTTCAACCTACCCCTCTGAAAAATGATGGAATTGGTCAGTTGGGATTATTGATTATTCCCAATATATGGAAAGTCATAAAATTCCATGGTTCCAGTCAGCACCAACCAGATATATGGTTATTCCAATTATTAACCATTATTAACCATAGATTAACCATAGATTAACCATAGATAAACCATAGATTAACATCATGGTATCATCATGCTATTTCCATGTTGACTTTTCAGTGGAGGGATGATTTCATTGCTCGGCGATGGCTTCAGTCAGCAACCCATGTAAATTACCAGCCATATGAGCCATATTACCAGCCATATTATAATTCATCATGTTAATGATGTTGATGTGAATAAAAATGGGTGGTTTCCATAAATGGGGATACCCCATACAGTACTTGATGGTTTACAATGGAAAATCCTATACAAATGGATGATTTAGGGGTACCCCAATTTCAGGAAATCTCCATTTAACAAAATGTGAACCGCCGCTCATAAGCTCAATTCATAGGCCTGATCAACTGGCGCACCACTCGGAAAACCCTGTTTGAAACTGCTCCGCCATGGTACCATCTTGTCATTCACAATCCCATTGAAGCATATGCGTTGATTAATAAATTATATGTATATTATAGAATTATAGTTAATATTTGCAGAAGGGACACGCCTGGGATTGAAAAAACACAACTCTATGGCTAGATACCTTCGGGAGATCGTCATTTACCCATTCATCGCTGAAAGCCCGTGAGCCCACCATTCACCAAACTTTGTCCAATGTGATTCTACAATTTTGAACTGGAATGGTCATGCCTTCTCTCAGGACCACAAAGACCCAGAACCACTATCCCTTGAGTCCCGAGCCAATTTGTGAGCGCAAATGTCCTGCGTGCAAGGTGCATCGGAGGATCATTTCAGGCTTAATTTGAGGGTTAATTTCTGTTGCTTCAAGGTAATGACCAAACCCTCAAATCAAATCTAACTTGATGTCAGCAGGGTTGATTTGAATGCTATTGGATCTTTACGATTTCAAAAGAGGTCCTTGAATCTGTGACCCTTCTTGGACGGTGGAAGATGTAAAGAAAAGCGCCAGTGAACTAGCCGAGTGATTCAGAATGATGCAGAATGTATAGTCATATCTCGTCTCAAAATGATTTACTACTTATATATATATATATAGATAATAACTGGTTCTGTATTGTTCTACATCCTATCAAAATAGCTGGGATCACCTCCCAAACGAAGATGTGAATATCGAATCCAAAACCACCAGCCAGAGCAACCGGGATTCGCATCACCGTTTTCATCTGCGACATTGCGCTGTGCGGAACTATCGGAGCTACGCTTCAATGGGACTTGTTGGGTCCCATTTTCACCTATTCTGACACATTTTTGTTGGCAACTCCACGTCACCGCTGTCACCTCATTTTCTCGCAGCACTGTAGTTTTCCACAAACCAATCCACCGCAGTTTGGATCCCTTGCCGTATCGGCGTGAACTTGAAATCGGGCTTGTAACTACGAAGCTTTTTGTTGGACGCAGTCTTCTTGAACTGGCCATCGGCTTTCGTGGTATCCTGGGATGCAGGGTGCTTGTTGTTTTTTCTTATGGAAGATAGGTAGGTGTAGCAAGGACACTAATTATAGTGTTATCACATGTTATCATATTGCAATCGAACATTATATAATTATATATATATATAATTGCTTGGATCTGGATTCGATGGGGCTACCATGCTACAGTCATCAAACTGGAACTTTGCTATATATTGTTCACCAAACCAAAACAGGCATGACGGGAATGGGATGCAAGCCCAAAGAACTTTACCTCGATCCAAATAGTTTTACCAACGAAAACCAGCGAGCCAACCACTAGGCCAAATCTATTGGTTTAAGGCGGCTTCAAGTATAAGATGTGACATGATGTGACAATATGTGACACGTACAGTATACTAAAATCTAAATGTATTTTACAATACATAAAGACATATCCGCCGACCCCAGCGTGCTGCAGGGGGAGCGCGTTAGAGAAACCACGGACTGAGGCTTGCAGCACGCGGCGTTAGTGCCAGGTGAATGCTGTTTTGGAGCCTTCCTAGGTGAATGTTTTAGTCGGTTGCAAAGGTGACGTTAGGCCCCTCGGAGGTAAGCGTGGGGAAGCTGCCCGTCCTTCAGGAGTGTGGGGCTAGGGCCCTGCGGGGCCGACGTTTTGGAACCTTCCAGTTGTATCTTTTAGTCGGTTTCAAAGGTGACGTTATAGGGCCCTCGGAGGTAAGCGTGGGGAACCTGCATGCCCGTCCTTCAGGAGGGTGGGGCTGGGGCCCTGCGGGGCCGACGTTTTTGGAGCCTTCCAGTTGTATCTTGATTCAAATGTGATGTTAGGGAATGTTTTTGAAGCCTTCCTAGGTGACCTGTCCGTCCTTCAGGAGGGTGAGGCTAGGGCTAGGGCCCTGCGAAGGGAATCTCTTGGAGCCTTCCTAGGTGAATGTTTGAGTCGGTTTCAAAGGTGACGTTAGGCCCTCGGGGATGACCGTGGGGTACCCGTCCGTCCTTCAGGAGGGTGGGGCTAGGGCCCTGCGAGGGGAATGTTTTTGAAGCCTTCCTAGGTGACCCGTCCGTCCTTCAGGAGGGTGAGGCTAGGGCTAGGGCCCTGCGAAGGGAATCTCTTGGAGCCTTCCTAGGTGAATGTTTGAGTCGGTTTCAAAGGTGACGTTAGGCCCTCGGGGATGACCGTGGGGTACCCGTCCGTCCTTCAGGAGGGTGGGGCTAGGGCCCTGCGAGGGGAATGTTTTTGAAGCCTTCCTAGGTGACCCGTCCGTCCTTCAGGAGGGTGAGGCTAGGGCGAAGGGAATAGGAGCCTTCCTAGCGAAGGGAATCTCTTGGAGCCTTCCTAGGTGAATGTTTGAGTCGGTTTCAAAGGTGACGTTAGGCCCTCGGGGATGACCGTGGGGTACCCGTCCGTCCTTCAGGAGGGTGGGGCTAGGGCCCTGCGAGGGGAATGTTTTTGAAGCCTTCCTAGGTGACCCGTCCGTCCTTCAGGAGGGTGAGGTTACGGCTAGGGTTGTGCGAAGGGAATCTTTTGGAGCCTTCCTAGGTGAATGTTTTAGTCGGTTTCAAAGGTGACGTTAGGCCCTCGGGGATGAGCCGTGGGGTACCCGTCCGTCCTTCAGGAGGGTGGGGCTAGGGCCCTGCGAGGGGAATGTTTTTGAAGCCTTCCTAGGTAATCTTTTGGAGCCTTCCTAGGTGAATGTTTTAGTCGGTTTCAAAGGTGACGTTCGGCCCTCAACCGTGGATTCAGCTTTTGAAACACATACATCCCTATACACATTGCTTATTCGCAGATCTACTGCTTAAAAGCGGCATTTGTGAAATTTAGCACTGGCTGCTGTTAAGAATTTCAGACCCCTCTAAATTCATCGTTTTAACATTGACATGCACAGTTTGTCTACTGAGCCCCGTGGATGACAAATGCGCTGGAATGCAACAACATGTCTAGCGCGCCTTGCGCGGGCAGGTGGCGTGGTGATCTTGGTCGAGCAGACGTTGGAGAATTCCGCTCTTAACTTCCGACGGCACCTGCTGGCAGCTGGCATTTCACGGAAGCATGACCACGATTTCATGAAGCACACTCTCCATTCAAAAGTTTCAACTTCAGTTGGCTGCCAAACACTGCAACGAATGCGGCACACAACAATGTTATCCTTCCAATTCTTCCCTGCGGCCTCAGATTGGTCTGGATCCCAGTTCAGCTGCAGCCTGTCATTGCCTGGGCCCAGCCATTGCAAACACAGACACCAGCTGGAGCAAATGGCAACTGCTGGCCTTGCAGACCAGAACTCCTAATGACGGCCACAAAAAGCACTAGCAACCCAACCTTCCAACTGTGAATCCCTGCGTTCAAGCATTAATTACTTCCGTCAAGATAAGTTGGTTTCAACAAGGGTCACCGTGTATCTGACTGCGATTTGGGAGCGCCGCAAGACCCCTGCCCAACACATTGCAGCTAAGTTGCTAAAAAGCTGTTGAGCAAGGGCCTGCTCAAAATCTTCCTCCGGGCGGGGCATCCGCACCAAGATGGCATCGTGTGGCCCAAGTGCTGCAGGTTAAATACGTATCTTTCGCCCTGGCCACTTTAGAAGCGCACCGGTATCGATCTTTTGGACGCAGTATGCCGCATGACAATGGTCTTGACCAGTTGATCATGTCACTGGCGCAATGTGGCGTAATTCTATCGATTCAGATTGGCACTTTCCTTACCTTGTCTCCTTTGATTCACGGAAACAACTTTTCCACCAGGTTCATCAATCACCTCAAGACCGCAAAAGGACCACCAGGACCGGAAATCCAAGCCAAATGATTCACCACCCTAATGGCTACATGGGTCGCACATTGTCGGCACCCAGCTGGCCATGGAACTACCCGCGCATTCTTTGGCGTTCGAAGCTGTCGCCCGCATGGCTGTAAGTATAAATTATAACCCAACCCGGTTTATCCAACATGGCTTGTGTGATGGCAGGTTACCACCCAAATTGCGAACGGGTCCCAGGGTCATCCCTCAAGTGCAAGACCAATTGATCACCTTTAGAACCTTCGGGCTCTCCCCTTTCAAAGTCGATGCGTCAAATCGTGTCTCATTGTTGTATGGTGTCTCGTAGTTGTATGTCCCACAGCTGAAAGACCAGGTTCTCCTGCCACCACTTTGCCTCAAAGTGGGTGGAGACCTTGCACTTGGTCTTCTCGCCATATGTGCAAGTGCCCAGAACCACAAAGAAGTCAGCTTCCTGCAGCTGCTTCTTCGTCTCTCCTAAGTTCACAAGGTGGACCAATGAAGGTGGAAGATGCAGCCAACCCAAAATACATGGCCACTGCAGTTGGTGAACATCCGTTGGGTCTTGCCATGGGCCCCAACTAGATTGCAGAGGGTCCGCTGGCATTTGGCTAAGGTGGAAGGACCCAAATGACCCCATTGACTGATATTGAGTGTGCTTTGATTTCACCAGAAGGCACCTCCCTGGAGAACATCCTGCCTCATGCAGCCTCCTGTCATGGCCGAGTTGCTCCCAATGGATTTTCCGGCCGAGGTATTCACGATCTGGGCCTCCACCCTGTAGCCTCAATTGCAGGGCTCCCATGGAGGGCGGGTGGCTTCCATGGTCACAAGCTGCCCCAACATAAACGAGCTAAGCCGGGAAGCCCCTCAAGTACTTGCGCAAGAGTTTCGCTTGACGGAAGGCCGCGCCATGCCCTACGAACCGCAGGCTGAGGAACACCTCAGTCAGGGTCCAATCGTTTTCATAAAAACTTCATCGGTCCATAATGTCTTCACAGGGGTTCGAATGTCCTCAGGTCCGTCTGTGCATACCTGTCCTCTCCACAGGTGCTGACAAAAGGGCTTCACCTCCGGTCTTCGGGGCGCCCTTTTTCGGCTCTTTGCCGGGCGCCTCGTTGGGCTTCGCCCCCGCTTTGCTTGCTTGGCATGCCATGGCCCAAACAACGCCAGGAGGATGAGGGCACACGCACAAGCCACAGCAAGCGCGGCATTCTGCCGCCAATGCAGGGCTTCATCCAGCGCGCTCTGCAAATCGGCAGCTGCTCGAAGGAGCTCACCTGCGCACTGCCGCTTTATCACCGCTAGGAAGTCGAAATGTTTGCGCTGATAAAGACCTGTACCGCCGATACCGCCTATGCAGGCTGTAAGGCGCTAATGGAAAAGTGCCAGCGCCAAATGAACTATAAACTCTCTCCCCCTCTGAAATGGCCAGGTGTTTCCATGAGTTTCTCACATTTTCCTGAGTGCTCCCCCTCTTAAATGGCCGCTCGATTACTGTGACTTTGATTCAATTAATATGGTGATTTCAAAACTCCTGATGGCCATCATCATGACGATCACAATGATGATGATGATGATGATGTTGATGATGATGATGGTGATGATGATGGTGATGATGATGATGATGGTGATGATGATGATCTATGATGATCCATGATAATATATGATGATGTATGATAATCTGTGATCATTATAATGATAATGATGATATATGATGATGATCTAAAACGATAATGATAATGATAATGATGAAGATGACAACCATGATGTTAATCGTGATGATGAAAGTGATGAAGATGATGCCAACAATGATGACCATAAAGACTACAATAAGAATGATAATCATGAAAAGATGATGATGATGATGATGATGATTATGATGATGATGATAACTATTATAGTATAATGATAATGATAGAAATGGTGATATGGTGCATGATTATGACAATCAAAGTCCCTGATGGTGATGATGATGATGATGATGATCACGATGGTGCAAATGATCATGATGACGGTTACTATCATGATGTTGTTACTATTATGATGGTGACTACTATCATGATGGTTATTGCTATCATGATGATGACGATCGCAACGATAAAGAAACCATGATAATGATGATGACACTGACAATAGTGATGATCACCATGACGACGGGGATGAACAAGAACAGGACAAAGATTACAATAATGAGGAAGAAAATAATGATGATTACAATGATGATGACAATACTAATGAGAAGGATTGAAATGATGATCATGATAACGATGGTCATGCTAATTACTGATGATAATGATGATGATGACTAGGATTAAAAAATGATCATGATGATGATGATGATCGCAATGATGATTACAATGATGATGACAATACTAATGAGAAGGATTGAAATGATGATCATGATAACGATGGTCATGCTAATTACTGATGATAATGATGATGATGACTAGGGTAAAAAACAATGACCATGATGACGATGATGACGATGATGACGATGATGACGATGATGACGATGATGATGATGATGATGATGTCTGATGACAATGGTGATGATGACGAGGATAATAATGATGGCATCACCGATGATGACGACCACGATGGTGATTTGGATAATGATGATAATGATGATGATGATGGTTATTAATGATAATCATGACGATGGTGATGGTGATGACACCGTCATGATAAGTACGATGATTGATGATGATTGATTGGTAATGATGATGATGATGATAATGATGATGGTGATTGATTGGTGATGATGATAGTGATTAAACGGGGCAGGAGGAGGGCTGATGATAAGAATGCTGATACATAATGGTTACTGATCATGATGAGGGTTGATGATAAGGGTTGATGATGATGACAATGATGATCATAATGATGATGATACTGATGGTGAGAATGACGACAAGCGTAATGACAGTGAAAATGACACAAACATAATTAATTATAACGATACATAACGATGATTGGTGATGATAATGATGATGACGATTGTGATGATTGATTTGTGATGATGATGGTGGTGAGGATAACGATGATCATGTTGATAACGTTAATGATAGCCATGATAACCATGATGATGGTGATGACGCCGTGATGATGATGGCAATGCTTAATGGTGATTGATTGGTGGTGATCATGCTGATGATGATGGTGATGAAAATGATGGTAATGCTGATGGTGATGATAATGGTAATGATGATGATGGTGGTGATGATGAAGAGGAGGAGGAGAAGGAGAGCTAATGATGAGGATGATGCTGATGATGATGGTGCTTGATGATGATTGGTGATGTTATTGATGAGGTTGCTGCTGCTGCTGCTGGTGATGATGATGATGATGATGATGCTGATAATAATGTTAACAATAAAGATGATGATGATGATGATGATGATGATCATGATGATGATGATCATGATGATGATGATTATCATTATTATTATCATTACTATGATGATTATTATTTATTTCAAACTTTAGCCTCTTAACCTGTGGGCCCTGTGGACCATGGAGGGAACTATGGAAGGGACTATGGAAGAAACCAGGGCAATAAGGATATCTTATAGAAGGTGATGTTAGAAACCATGTCAAGGGAAAATTAGCAAGCTTTTGAAGAAGTAAAGAACAAAACAATGCACACAGCGAGGACACATCCAGATTCGTCAATCTGGGTTTGCACTCAAAGTCGTGAAGTACTTGACCTAAATTGAATTTGTATTGTGGACCGGTGATGAATTCAGTTTTGCTAATAACAAAAACTTGCCATGGATACTTTATACCTATCTGATCCACAGTCTATAGATATAAAATTCTGATTGTGAGATTGGGGTGAACTTATGTTTCGGTCTTTCTTTTGAAGACTAAATCTACTTAGGTAATCTTAGGTGCAAATAAAATTCTACTTAGGCGTCACGAACTGACGCCTAAGTAGAATTCTATTTGCGCCAGAAAGATTATGCATTCCAAATTCTAGTCTGGAACTGTTGGAAGACAAAATTCATAATCTACTTGGGCGCAAAAAGAATTCTGCTTAGGCGTCACGAACTGACGCCTAAGTAGAGTTCTATTACTATTTGCGCCTTATTAGACCATGTCTTCCAAATTCTAGTCTGGGGCTGTTGGAAGACATAATTCATAGTCATAATCTACTTAGGCGCAAATAGAATTCTAGTCTGGGGCTGTTGGAAGACATAATTCATATTCCACTTTGGCGCAAAAAGAATTCTGCTTAGGCGTCACGAACTGACGCCTAAGTAGAATTCTATTACTAGTTGCGCTTAATTCGACCATGTCTTCCAAATTCTAGCCTGGGGCTGTTGGAAGACATAATTTATATTCATAATCTACTTATGCGCAAATAGGAAATCTAGTCTGGGGCTGTTGGAAAACATAATCCACAATCTACTTAGGCGCAAACATAATTTTGCTTAGGCGTCACCATTTGACACCTAAGTAGAATTCTATGTGCGCTTAAGTAGATTATGCATTCCAAATTCTAGTCTGGGGCTGGCATTTGGGTGAAAATATGGTTTGCTTTTTCTTCAAAATGGGAGACATACTCAGGCGACAGAAACAAACGCCGAAGTGGAATTCTATTTGCAGCTAATTAATTTTCTAGTGTGAGACTGGGCTAAATGCAGCTTTGATTACTTAACAACCTTGCCCCAAATACTTGAAACCTTGAATAAATACACAACCCGCATACAGATAGTGGGTTTAATTTATGATGCTGCATTTGTTTGAGGGAAGATTCAGGCGGTTTAAGCGCAATTGGAGAAATACTTAGGTGGAAGGAACAGGCGCTGAAGTCGAATTCTATCAATATGTAATTTCAATTATTTGGAAGGCAGTCCATGTGTGTTTGGGCGCGCTGAGCTGGCTTCTGCAATGTGTTCAGGCTGTTGGGATTATGTGACTTCCCTTTTCAAAAAAAGAACAAAGGCAATGCTGGTTGTTGGCTGCATTCCCATTGCTGTCTTTTTCCCCACCAGTTCTGGACTGGATCAAAAATATGCAGTAGCGGTAGCAGTGCAACATCCAGGCTATATTGTTGGTATTTTGTCACTCTGGCAAGACTGTTGCTACTACCGTGCTACTACCCATACAAGAAACAAACTATATTGTATATAGCTGCCGATAATTTCTTGGACCATGATTTGATACTTTTCAGAATATATATATATATAGCGCTAGCGGTGGGGTTCTTGAGGGTGATGATGGGTTACTTTCAGGTTGGGACTAATGCATCCGGAATTGCTCAACCTTGTCCGTGCCTTCCTATTCCCGGGATTCTTGGCACAGAGAACCCATTTACGTGACACTTTTCTTAGCGCAGAGGTCTCCAGAACGGTTCGGAACGGTTCTGCAGACCTCCGGAACGGTTCGGAACGGTTCTGCAGACATCAACTTTGCACGGAGATATTTCTCCACAGCTTCCAAACCCCCCAAAAAACGGTCAAGAGCAGTTCCTCCTGTTTCGCATTTTCAAAACCTTCCAAAGAGCCGCACTGCTCCAAGGGCCAAGGCTACAAGAGAAAGGAGTCAGAAAAACGACAAAGGGAAGGCAACTTCTCCGCCTAAGTCTTTGAACAGGCAGTGCAAAGGCATGCTGAGCACAAGGGAGAAGGTGAAACTGGATGTAGCTACAAAAGGCTGGAAGTTTCTCAGCTGTTTGTTCATGGAAGGCGTGGCCCCTTTCAAAATCTTACCTGTCTTGAAAACTGTTCTGTGGAATCTGTTCTAACAAAATCATACAACTGTGTAGTTTGTATTGAAATATCCGTTTGAAAGTATCGCTTGTGTCGAATCATCATTGCTTATGGTACTAGTATGTGTTTATTTGTTCAAACTCTATGTATTAAAGTTAAATAATTATATAGTCAAAATATGCTATTATACAAGTTAACATATGCTATTATATGGAGGTCTCCGGAACCGTTCCGAACCGTTCTGGGGTCTATAGGCTTTGAATCCGGAACCGTTCCGGAACCGTTCTAAATAGTTCTAAATAGTTCTGAGGTTTTGGAAGTATCCGGAACCGTTCCGAACCGTTCTGGGGAAATCTCCGGAACCGTTCCGAACCGTTCTGCAAACCCCAAATAATGGCTTGTATGTTAACTTACTTTTATACTTGTATATAACTTGATAAAACCAAATATACACACTGGTAGCTTATAGCTACTTTGTAAAATACAACTCATAATCCATAACTCTTGACTATCAAACTTCAATAAATCAATTTATAAGGTTTAGGAACTGTTTTAAAATTGAAACACATTGTTATAACTGTTAATTTACAACTTAGAGCTTCTAGTTATGACTTGACACTAAAAACTGTGTAACTTATAACTGTGTAACCTTTTTAACTTTGAACTTACAACTTATAACTAAAACTTACAACCTTTAACTTGTAACATAACTTTGACTTTACTTCTCGATTTGACTTCAACTGTTTAACTTTATAAGTATATTTTTGATGTTTGCTTTACTTTACTTGCTTTGTATTTATGATTTATATAAGACTGTTTGAGTTTTTAGATGAATTATATGTTCTTGTTTGTTCGTGTATGTTTGAAAGTTTGGAAGTATATCGACGGGGTTTGTTTGTATAAAACGAAACAATGAAGTTTAAGCGTTGTATTTGGAGAAAATTGATGACATATTTATAATGATTGTAATCTGTTACTGCAACGCTGCTACGGACCAATGCACAACAGCGTAGCGACAGAAATACAGTAACACATCTTTGATCTGCTACAAATACGTAGGATTCCGTTTGCAGTTTATAAATTTGTTTCACCATGTTTTACCTAAGTTTTACCGTGGTCTTCGCAGCACCGAAAACAATACTTAAAAACTGTGGATTTGCATTTGCAGTTCCATGCACATGGGCACACAGCCATACATACACTCATCAATGCACTAGTTAACCAATTTTACAGTATACAGGGTCACATCGTAATTAATATTGTTTTTATGATTTATGAGTTCTTTTTTCTAGTCGGAGCTTGCGCACATGCATTCTTTGGCGTTCTCCTTTTTGAAGAATTATGGGGCCCCGAATTACACAGATGTTGTATATTGTTGTATACTGTTTTCCTTTCCAACTTACGGACCAATATTTTCAAATACGAAGTTTGTATGTAACATCTAACTTGATGTTGAAAGGTTTTTTGTCCAAGAACTTGGAGCAATGCGTTTTTCTTTCAAAGTGGTGGGTTTCTTCATTGGGTGACATTTTTAGTGGAAACACCCCTTATTTCCATGGATTGCTACATAGTTCTTTCCATAGTTCTTTCCCTGGACATATGAAATCTACAGGAATCCAAATTTAAGAGACTAAGGTTTGAAATAAATTATTATTATTATGATGATGACGGTGATGATGATGATGATGTTGATGATGAGGATGATGATGATGATGATGATGGTGATGACAATCAGGATGCGAGAGAACTTTAAGGAGAAGGATGAGGGTAAAAACGATGGTTGCTGATGATAAGTGTGATAATGACACGACGACGACGACGACGACGACGACGACGACGACGACAAAGACGATGACGACCACAACGACGACGACGACGAAGACGATGACGACCACAATGACGACGGCGAGGCGGACAGTGAGTTGGACAACGACGGACAATGAGGCGAGGTGTGTGAAAAACAACAGCGGGGATCTGTCCATGAGATTGCAGCTGAGGTTCTGTCGAGGGCAATGGGGAGCAAAGTTGCCAGATGTTCGTTCAGGCCTCGGTGCGAAATACGCCAGGTGCCCGCGGCAACCTCTCTACTGCAGCGCTGCAAACAAATCCACAAGCCAACCGTGGTCGTCAAAAGTTGAACATCTCTTACCCAACGGTTTGTCTTCAAGCCAAGGAACTTAGGGAAGGCAAAAAGACGCAGGTGTAAGACACGATCCAGCAGAGAACCTGGCGATTGGACAGACATTTGGCCGTCGTAAAGGTAAAGTTTTCTTAACAAGGGGCACCAACAAGCCCACACCTGCGGGAAGTGCCGGCCGCGGAGGGCAGCCCACAACTTAGTGGCCGGGCTCAGCCAGGACGACGCAAACGACTAGGCAAAACCTAGACCAAGTATGTGCCCAATAGGTGCCAGTGGAAGGCGGATGCCAGCTGGCATTAATTCTGCCGTTTCCCCACTTACAGTGCAAACATGTGTACACTGCACACTGGTGAGGACCAGAAGAGATATCACTTTATGCTTGCATTGTGAAGTGCATAAGTCTGAGAACCACCAGAGGTGGTTTAAACCAACCCACCTACCCCAAAGAAAGCCCGAGCCCCGCAGTGCTTGGGCAAGGATCCACAGCGCCGGTGACCAAAGGAAACGCCGTGGTGGTGCCGGTCATCACCTGGCCACTTCTGTGTTGAGGCGGGCCACCCACTCACACATGCCCCTCGATGCTGAACACAGGAAACAACACACTGATCCGTTTCCAACTTCTGGCTCTTCCACCCCCCCAACCTGGTCGCCATTGTGCTGAAGCGGGCCATCCGCCAAACGCATCATGGCGCCGGGCCAAAGAGGCAGGTGCGGGAGAAGTTGTTCCACAGGTTCCCTGGGCAGCCATTTGCCATCCATCATGAGCTACCTTGCATTAATCATCCATCACCATGACTTAACCAGTAGCTATTATCCGGCTGGCCTAATACATCATGGTCTCAAACCACTCTCATACCCAAAGGAACTTACTTTGATGCTTATTGCGCCATTTTTCCCGAGAGCGTCTGAGCGCAGGGTTCTTCCAATAGTGGGGGCCTGTAAAACATCTTCTCATCTTCACACCCTCTCATCTTCACATCCTCTCATCTTCACATCTTCTCATCTTCACATCCTCTCATCTTCACATATTTTCACCTTCACATCTTCACATCTTCACATCTTCTCATCTTCACATCTTCTCATCTTCACATCTTCTCATCCTCCCATCTTCTCCTCATCTTCACATCTTCTCACATCTTCTCACATCTTCTCACATCTTCTCACATCTTCTCGCATCTTCTCACATCTTCTCACATCTTCTCACATCTTCTCTGTAAAACATCTTCTCACATCTTCTCATCTTCTCACATCTTCTCACATCTTCTCACATCTTCTCTGTAAAACATCTTCTCATCTTCACATCTTCACATCCTCTCATCTTCACATCTTCTCATCTTCACATCCTCTCATCTTCACATATTTTCATCTTCACATCTTCACATCTTTTCATCTTCACATCTTCACATCTTCTCATCTTCACATCTTCTCATCCTCCCATCTTCTCCTCATCTTCTCATCTTCACATCTTCTCACATCTTCTCACATCTTCTCACATCTTCTCACATCTTCTCACATCTTCTCACATCTTCTCATCTCACATCTTCTCATCTCACACCTTCTCCTCTTGCCCTCTTGCCCTCTTGCCCCCTCTTGCCCTCTTGCCCTCTCCTTCTTTTCTATTTCTTTCTTGAAGGCGGGAGCAGAGGCAGTGGCAACGAGACGGCACGAAACGCAACCCTTTCGCACGAAATGAGGTTCGATCGTCAAAAACTGAGGTGAAATTGCGATTTCAAGTGGTCCGGCGCAACCCTTTCGCACGAAATGAGGTTCGATCGTCAAAAACTGAGGAAAAATTGCGATTTCAAGTGGTCCGGCGCAACCCTTTTTGCACGAAATGAGGTTCGATCGTCAAAAACTGAGGTAAAATTGCGATTTCAAGTCGTCCGGCGCAACCCTTTCGCACGAAATGAGGTTCGATCGGCAAAAACTGAGGTGAAATTGCGATTTCGTGTTTCCGGTGGACTGTTTCGCACGAAATGAGGTTCGATCGCCAAAAACTGAGGTAAAATTGCGATTTCAACCCTCGCGGCGCACGACCGATTTTACTTGTCTGGAGCAACCCTTTCGCACGAAATGAGGGTCGATCGGCAAAAACTGAGGGAAAATTGCGATTTTACTTGTCCTGGAGCAACCCTTTCGCACGAAATGAGGGTCGATCGTCAAAAACTGAGGAAAAATTGCGATTTCAAGTGGTCCGGCGCAACCCTTTTGCACGAAATGAGGTTCGATCGTCAAAAACTGAGGTAAAATTGCGATTTCAAGTCGTCCGGCGCAACCCTTTCGCACAAAGTGAGGTTCGATCGGCAAAAACTGAGGTGAAATTGCGATTTCAACTTGTCCCGCGCAACCCTGTCGCGTGCCCCTTTCGCACGAAATGAGGTTGGATCGCCAAAAAACTCAAGTAAAATTGCGATGTGTCTAAAAGCGTCTGTGTGTAAAAGCGTCTGTGTGTAAAAGCGTCTGTGTGTAATAGCGTCTGTGTGCAAAAACTTCTGTGTGTAAAAGCGTCTCTGTGTAAAAGTGTTTGTGTGTAAAACTGTTTGTGTGTAAACTTTTGCGTGTAAAAGCATCTGTGTGTAATAGCGTCTGTGTGTGAAAGCTTCTGTGTGTAAAAGTGTCTGTGTGTAAAAGTGTTTGTGTGTAAACATGTTTGTGTGTAAACGTGTTTGTGTAAATGTGTCTGCGTGTAAAAGTCTCTGGGTGTAAAAGTGTCTGTGTGTAAAAGTGTCTGTGTGTAAAAGCGTCTCTGTGTAAAAGTGTTTGTGTGTAAAAGCTTCTGTGTGTACAAGCGTCTGCGTGTAAAAGCGTCTGTGTGTAAAAGTGTTTGTGTGTAAAAGTGTTTGTGCGTAAAAGTGCCTGTGTGTAAAAGCGTCTATGTGTAAAAGCTTCTGTGTGTCAAAGCGCTTGTGTGTAAAAGCAGCTCCTGTGTGTAAAAAGGTCTGTGTGTAAAAGTGTCTGTGTGTAAACGTGTCTGTGTGTAACAGTGTCCGTGTAAAAGCGTCTGTGTGTAAAAACATCTGTGTGTAAAAGCGTCTGTATGTAAAAGCTTCTGTGTGTAAAAGCTTTGTGTGTAATAGCCTCTGTGAAAAAGCTTCTGTGTGTAAAAGCTTCTGTGTGTAAAAGCTTTTGTGTGTAAAAGCGTCTGTGTGTAAAAGTGTTTGCGATGCAAACTATTGTCTTGCACTTCTCACTATTTTGTCTTGCTACTCCTCTTCTCGACTGCCTATAACACATCTTTCATATATTGTTTGTAAAATTGTGTCTCCATACTAACAAGAGAAGACCCTGCTCCTCTACGCTCTCGGGCCATCCGTCGTCTATTTTTGTGGCCTCACTTTTGCACCTGCTGCACGAAAACAACTTTTGTGAGCAAAGCTAAGCTACAATGGTGTTCATGTCTTTTGGCGATAGCTGGTGTCCAGCCCTTGCAGGCTAGAGGCTGGTTCCAAAGGTTGGGTTTGAACACAACACATGATCTGCCTTTTCCATCACTGGATATGCACATGTCAAGCACCTAATTAGGAAGTGTTCCTACGATGTTGAAGCTGATTGAAGCTGCTAGATGGCATCAAGCTGAGACCGCTATCTTACGATCTGGCCAGGTAAATGCTATTTACGGACTTGGTTTCATCACCGTTTCTCACATTCGTTGAACCTGTTTTCTGACAAAACCGTGCCAGTGATATTGTTGCTGTGGTGCTTATCCTGCTAGTGGTGCTAGAGCTGCTGTGGGTGGTCCCGTAGGGCGTGGGGTCGAGTCAGTTTGACACAAGGCACGTTGACCTTGAGCACAAATGCAATGTCAGGATGGTCAGTATGAGCTTCTGACGTATTGACCGCACAAGGCGGTGGCGGACGTTTCCAGAAGAGGTAGCCAATGGGAAGAGCAGGTGAAATGAGATAATGTGATGGTGTGAATGATGATGATGATGGTGATGATGATGATGATGATGCTGATGATAATGATGATGAAGATGATGATGATGATGGTGATGATGGATGTTGATGATGATGATGATGACGACGAGGATGATGATGATGATTGATTGATTGATTGGTTGGTTGATTGATTGATTGATTCATTGATTGGTTGATTGATTGATTGATTGGCTGGTTGATTGATTGATTGATTGATTGACTGGTGATGATAATGGCGATGCTGATGATGATGATGATGGATGATGGATGATGATTAATGATGATGATGATGGATGGTGGATGATGGATATGATGATGGATGATGGATGATGGATGATGGATGATGGACGATGGACGATGGATGATGGATGATGGAGATGATGATGATGATGATGATGATGATGATGATGATAATGATGATCAATGATCGATGATCGATGATCGATGAGCCATTGACGAGGCAGATAGGAAGACATTCAGGTCGACAGACAGACAGGTAGATAGATAGACAGACAAACTCAGGAGGGTGGGGCTAGGGCCCTGCGAGGGGAATGTTTTTGAAGCCTTCCTAGGTGACCCGTCCGTCCTTCAGGAGGGTGAAGTTAGGGCTGGGGCCCTGCGAAGGGAATCTTTTGGAGCCTTCCTATAGGTGAATGTTTTCGTCGGTTTCAAAGGTGACGTTGGATGAGGCGTGGGGTACTCGTCCGTCCTTCAGGAGGGTGGGGCTAGGGCCCTGCGAGGGGAATGTTTTTGAAAAGCCTTCCTAGGTGACCCGTCCGTCCTTCAGGAGGGTGAAGTTAGGGCTAGGGCCCTGCGAAGGGAATCTTTTGGAGCTTTCCTAGGTGAATGTTTTAGTCGGTTTCAAAGGTGACGTTAGGCCCTCGGGGATGAGCCGTGGGGTACCCGTCCGTCCATCAGGAGGGTGGGGCTAGGGCCCTGCGAGGGGAATGTTTTTGAAGCCTTCCTAGGTGACCCGTCCGTCCTTCAGGAGGGTGAGGTTACGGCTAGGGCCCTGCGAAGGGAATCTTTTGGAGCTTTCCTAGGTGAATGTTTTAGTCGGTTTCAAAGGTGATCAAAGGTGACGTTAGGCCCTCGGGGATGAGCCGTGGGGTACCCGTCCGTCCTTCAGGAGGGTGGTGCTAGGGCCCTGCGAGGGGAATGTTTTTGAAGCCTTCCTAGGTGACCCGTCCGTCCTTCAGGAAGGTGAGGCTAGGGCTAGGGCCCTGCGAAGGGAATCTTTTGCAGCCTTCCTAGGTGAATGTTTGAGTCGGTTTCGAAGGTGACGTTAGGCCCTCGGGGATGAGCCGTGGGGTACCCGTCCGTCCTTCAGGAGGGTGTGGGGCTAGGGCCCTGCGAGGGGAATGTTTTTGAAGCCTTCCTAGGTGACCCGTCCGTCCTTCAGGAGGGTGAGGCTAGGGCTAGGGCCCTGCGAAGGGAATCTTGTGGAGCCTTCCTAGGTGAATGTTTGAGTCGGTTTCAAAGGTGATCAAATAGGCCCTCGGGGATGATCCGTGGGGTACCCGTCCGTCCTTCAGGAGGGTGGGGCTATCGGCCCTGCGAGGGGAATGTTTTTGAAGTTAGGCCCTCGGGGATGAGCCGTGGGGTACCCGTCCGTCCTTCAGGAGGGTGGTGCTAGGGCCCTGCGAGGGGAATGTTTTTGAAGCCTTCCTAGGTGACCCGTCCGTCCTGCAGGAAGGTGAGGCTAGGGCTAGGGCCCTGCGAAGGGAATCTTTTGCAGCCTTCCTAGGTGAATGTTTGAGTCGGTTTCGAAGGTGACGTTAGGCCCTCGGGGATGAGCCGTGGATTACCCGTCCGTCCTTCAGGAGGGTGTGGGGCTAGGGCCCTGCGAGGGGAATGTTTTTGAAGCCTTCCTAGGTGACCCGTCCATCCTTCAGGAGGGTGAGGCTAGGGCTAGGGCCCTGCGAAGGGAATCTTTTGGAGCCTTCCTAGGTGAATGTTTTAGTCGGTTTCAAAGGTGATCAAATAGGCCCTCGGGGATGATCCGTGGGGTACCCGTCCGTCCTTCAGGAGGGTGGGGCTATGGGCCCTGCGAGGGGAATGTTTTTGAAGTTAGGCCCTCGGGGATGAGCCGTGGGGTACCCGTCCGTCCTTCAGGAGGCTGGGGCTAGGGCCTTGGGAGGGGAATGTTTTTGAAGCCTTCCTAGGTGACCCGTTCGTCCTTCAGGAGGGTGAGGTTACGGCTAGGGCCCTGCGAAGGGAATCTTTTGGAGCTTTCCTAGGTGAATGTTTTAGTCGGTTTCAAAGGTGACGTTAGGCCCTCGGGATGAGCCGTGGGGTACCCGTCCGTCCTTCAGGAGGGTGAGTTCAGGGCCCTGCGAGGGGAATGTTTTTGAAGCCTTCCTATAGGTAATCTTTTGGAGCCTTCCTAGGTGAATGTTTTAGTCGGTTTCGAAGGTGACGTTAGGCCCTCGGGGATGAGCCGTGGGGTACCCGTCCGTCCTTCAGGAGGGTGGGGCTAGGGCCCTGCGAGGGGAATGTTTTTGAAGCCTTCCTAGGTGACCCGTCCGTCCTTCAGGAGGGTGAGGTTAGGGCTAAGGCCCTGCGAAGGGAATCTTTTGGAGCCTTCCTAGGTGAATGTTTTCGTCGGTTTCAAAGGTGACGTTAGGCCCTCGGGGATGATCCGTGGGGTACCCGTCCGTCCTTCAGGAGGGTGGGGCTAGGGCCCTGCGAGGGGAATGTTTTTGAAGCCTTCCTAGGTGACCCGTCCGTCCTTCAGGAGGGTGAGGTTAGGGCTAGGGCCCTGCGAAAGGAATCTTTTGGAGCTTTCCTAGGTGAATGTTTTAGTCGGTTTCAAAGGTGATCAAAGGTGACGTTAGGCCCTCGGGGATGAGCGGTGGGGTACCCGTCCGTCCTTCAGGAGAGTGGTGCTAGGGCCCTGCGAGGGGAATGTTTTTGAAGCCTTCCTAGGTGACCCGTCCGTCCTTCAGGAGGGTGAGGCTAGGGCTAGGGCCCTGCGAAGGGAATCTTTTGCAGCCTTTCTAGGTGAATGTTTGAGTCGGTTTCAAAGGTGACGTTAGGCCCTCGGGGATGAGCCGTGGGGTACCCGTCCGTCCTTCAGGAAGGTGTGGGGCTAGGGCCCTGCGACAGGAATGTTTTTGAAGCCTTCCTAAAGGTGACCCGTCCGTCCTTCAGGAGGGTGAGGCTAGGGCTAGGGCCCTGCGAAGGGAATCTTTTGGAGCCTTCCTAGGTGAATGTTTTAGTCGGTTTCAAAGGTGACGTTAGGCCCTCGGGATGAGCCGTGGGGTACCCGTCCGTCCTTCAGGAGTGTGGGGCTAGGGCCCTGCGAGGGGAATGTTTTTGAAGCCTTCCTAGACCCGTCCGTCGTTCAGGAGGGCGAAGGGAATCTTTTGGAGCCTTCCTATATGGTGAATGTTTGAGTCGGTTTCAAAGGTGACGTTAGGCCCTCGGGGATGAGCCGTGGGGTACCCGTCCGTCCTTCAGGAGGGTGGGGCTAGGGCCCTGCGAGGGGAATGTTTTTGAAGCCTTCCTAGGTGACCCGTCCGGGTAAACCGTGGGGTACCCGTCCGTCCTTCAGGTAGGCTCCACCGCAGCCGGTTGATTAGTTGGTGAGGGCACGGTGTTTCATACCCTAACATTCATGAACCCAGTCAACCAAAACAAATCGAAGGTTGCAAAACGATGGCGGTCTCAAATATCAAAATGACATCACGAGAAACAATGCCCTCTGGACTGGAACTTACAACCCTTGACGCTCCACTTGGTCTATGTCTTGAGGGCCTTTTACTCCACACTCGAACATTCAAATCTCTCTGTTTCCAGATCTCAAAGACATTGACCGAATTCTGCTCTTGTTGATAGTGGCTGCATGGGAATAGCACCTGCACATTCCAACAATTCAGAAAAGGAACAGCTGACTGGGGACTGTTCTGCTTCAGCTGGTAGCCCGAAATTCTCCCATTTGGCTGCCATTGTGAGGCCTTCCAAGCCTCAAAGCCGGGATGGACAAGCTATGAAATGAACTAGCGAACCAAACATTCAGCTTGAAGTGTGCCCCCGCCCATAATGCAATCAAAAAACATATTTCCACTGTTTGCGTGAATCCGGGAGCCAGTGGGCATGTGCACGCCACTTGCATGTCACAGACTTGCAGCCATCTCCATGACACCAATGGGTCAGCTTGGGCAGCTTGGGGATATGTCATCCCTGCCTTGTACATCTGACGGAATGTGAGCTGCACCTCGTCCCACCCAAGCAATTGAGTTGGGTGATCCCGCATGGCCTGCTCCTCGAGGGGTGGTGCATGAGGCAAATAGTCCGCAGTTGGATCACCACCTCAGATCGAAAATGTGGAAGATAAAGTGTTGTGGGTGTTGCTCAACCCCCACCGACTCCATGCTGCTGACTAGGCACGCAGCCGGCCTTGAACCACCAGCTGTGCGTTGACACTCACGTTGGGGCCGTCCAGGGCCAAGCAAAAGGTCTGAAACTCAAGTGTCAAGTCTGCGGTCGCCTAGGATAGCGAGCAAATTGGATTTAGCAAATTTGTTTCGGCGCGTGTGGTAGTTCTGATGGATCAATCAATCTTGAAGGGCATCACAAAACGAATACAAATCTCCTGGAATATTCATGATCATGCTGCAAAGGCATGCCTGTTCTCCTGACTGGGGGTATGACCATGTGCGCAACTGCTGCGACAGAATCTGCAAAAAGGTTTTTGGAGATCAGATTGAATGGAATGTCCTGGGCACCGTCCTGCATGATCACGATGCCCGAGAAAGGTGGGATCTACCTGGAAGGGATCAGATTGGAACGCTGGGAACCACCTGGACAGGATCAAAATGGACCTGCTGAGATCGGGTCTACCTATCAGGGATCAAATTGGAACACCTGAGATGGGATCTACGTAGAAGGGATCAAATTGGAACACCTACCTCAACCACGGCCACTCTGTACTGCCCAGATGCTGGAGACTGCCCGGACTCTTGGCCTGTGGAACAAGCAGTGCTGTTGCTCTTTGAGGCAGCAGTTGCTGGAAATCTGTGTCCTAAGACATCTTGACATGCCCCTTTCGGATGTGCCCTACTTCAGTTGAACAACCAACCCAATGTTTGGATCCCTCTTCCGCCTTTTCTGGGGTCGGCGGCAGGGGGCGGCAGCCCTTAAATTATATAGATGTATGTAGCCTCTCGACATAGAACTGGCTTGTGGTCTCAACCGTTTCAGGAACAGAAGCTGGCTAAGCCTCCGACTCCTGGAAACCGTCACCCATCCCTGAATGTTGTTCATTCATATCCCATTCACATCTCATCTCATGAACATCCCCTAATAATATATATATATATATATTAACATATACCTTTAATACATCATAATACATCCACATTGGATAATAATAAAATATCAATGGAATATTATTATATCATGTATGACCCATGATCTCAGACCCCCCAAAGTACCCATAAGAATGGTGTGTTACATTACCCCGTAATTTTTGTATTTATCCACATTTATCCCATTTTGGCGTGGTATTTGGAGGGTCACGGATGCATTAAACTAAGATCCGCTAAAACATTGGGTTTATAACATCTTATTGATTTATATATATATATATATGGGGAAATTATAATATTTCACTAACCTGAATTAAGGCCATTTGGGGATGATTTCCCTTATTAACCATGATTCCAATGAGGGAGAACAGTGAGGTCGTTATAATTTACCCAGATATATAATATATATATATAATATATAAATATGTATGTATCATATAGTATCATTCAGCCGAACTTTCACCAGGAAGCTTTCACCAACTTGCCCTTGAAGTCCATAGCCTCGCAGATCATCTGCGCCACATCGCTGATGGAGACCTCATCCTCTTCGCCCACGCTGAGGATGATGGGCTCAATCTCCTGATAGTCACGGAGCACCTCAGGATGCGGTGCTCGAAAAAAGGAGGGCTGGGACTGAAGAAAAAAATAGAAGGAAGCAACAGAAATGGGTTCACATGATGAATTTGATGATGTAACTGCTACTGTATGACCCAAGAAATTGTGGCTATAGAGCATGATTCGAGTGGTATAAGAAATGATCAGAGCATTATTTGACTGGTATAAACCAGCAGAATATGTGCCTTGAAGCCTTCAAAAAAAGGGGCAACAATAATCGCAATTCAGCAACAACCGATAATCCATCGAGCTTTCAGCCCACAACAGCCTCCATCAGCCCCCATCAGCCACAAGCCGCGCCACCCACACAATGAGCCGAGCCAAATCCTCGGAGAAGATGAACTGCCTCATGGGTGTTCCGGAACCCCAGAGCACCATATCTTCGCCCTTCTGCTTGGCCAAGTAACACCTGTTCCGACAGCTGTGAAGGTCAGGTATGTTTGGCCATGTCCCCATAAGTTCTGGGGGTTCACCAGATGTCTACATAATACTGGTATAATAACTTCAGTTGGATTATGCAATTATCCCACTTATATAACTACTCTCTCCCCTTGTTGGGTTGGTTCTACCCAAACTACCGTAGAAAATCCAAGTTCATGATCATAAGTTACATTGGTATACATTGGCCTGAAAGAAAAAGCAAGACACACAATCACAATCAACCATCCCTAGGGAATACACATTGTTTTTTTCCCAACACCAACGTTTTTGTTGGAAAAATCCATCGACTTCCTGCGCCGAGCCGCTTGTGGATGAGCCCGGGGATGACGTGACCGTCCTGGACGTTGAAGTTGTCGTGGGGTCCATAGACGTTGGTCGGAATCAAGGAGGTGAACTGACAGCCGTACTGCTCTTTGTAGCAATGGTTCATCGAATCCACCAGACCTGACCCAATATCAATGGGGATATGGGGATATACTGGGGATATAATGATATAAAATGGAAATATCATCAAGTATAATGACATATGATATATATATATATATATATATTATTATATATATTATATTATATATAATATATAATATATATATATATATATTATATATAATATATAATATATATATATATATTATATTATATATAATATAATATATATATATTTATATATTATAATATATATATATATTATAATATATATATTATATATATATATTATATATATATATATTATATGATTTATATGTTGGGTCTGGTACCTGAACAATGAGATGGAAATGGTCTTTTCGCACCAAGAGACGCTTGGCAATGGAGTATCCCAGGTTGGAATCGTGTGGAGGCCCGTTGTGCAGCATCGTCTCATCTATGGGATAGGTGGTTTTGTCGGGGAAGATGCAGGTTGAGAGACAGGAGACCAGCTTCTTGACGCCGTAAATGCGGCAGCACTCCATGATGTTGTCGTTAATCAACATGTTCTCGCGGAAAAACTCCACTTTCCTGGGACGGTTTCTGGTGATGAACGGTGATACAACGTGAACATGTTCAATGCACCAACCAAAATTAGCTGTGTCAGCACATTTTCATGGACTTGTTTTGGAACTGGCTCAAGAAAGACTTTGCCCACAACCCCAACATGTTAACAGAACAGGAATGACACGATGTAGTGTTAGCCTACACCATCCATGGCAAAACTTCCCCTCCCCCACACAAACACTCAACACACACACACACACCCACACACTGTTGCACACACACACACACACACATTTCCGCAGTTTTTGGCTCTCCAAAAGGCCGGGAATTCATCGTAGTTCTGCCATTCATCTGCTGTGGAAAACCCAATACACATAGATGTTCTCCACTTGGGAAACTTTAGAGGTTAACCAGCAAAAATGGTGATTTTAATGGGAATTTTCCATAAAACACAGATTTTAATATGCATTTTCCACAAAACACGGATTTAATGAGGCAAAACCAATAAACCCACCATCTGGGGATGGTTCTGGGGATGGTGAATACAGCCCATGATGCACCAGATTACCGTTGCCCAAGGGATCCCCTGGGGGAAACGAACAAATGGTGGGGTTTTCCACATCTATCTTGCAAGTAGTCTTACCAGAGGGGACCACCAAGAAAAAAAACTACAAAAAAAACAACTACACAAAACTCACATGACGTCAGCGTCTTCGCCATGTTGTGGAAAAGGCCGCCCACCCTGGCTGCCAGATGAATCACGTGTGTCGGTTGGTGCTTTTTGAAAATCGCTTCCGTTGCACTTCGATCCACCAAGTCCCCATCTTTGGAGGACAGGAAAACCTCAGCAGACTGCAGGGTCTCACGGGGGACCGTGGTCGCCTACAAGTGTGGAAACATGTGAGTAAACTGGGTAAATTCTGGGAAACGAGTATGTCTGCTAGTGGGGTACTATCTTAATCTTAATGAATATGATATTTTAAACTGTGGATTTTGGGGTCTACCCCTGGTTTTTTGACAAACCCGTTGCCGTCTCCTTCTGGTTCGTGGATAGATGCTTCCAGAATGGATTGGAAATGATTGCTAAAGATTGCAAATGGTTCCAATATATATATATATATCATATAATTATCCAAGAACAAAAGTCAGCAGAACCCTCTCTAACCATCAACCAGCCACGAATTATATCATCAGAAGCTTCTCAGCATATCTAAGGCTTATACAGCCATGGAGTGAGTCAATTGGTCCATGGTACTGGTTGGTTAGTCGAATTTCCCAGTTCATGAATTGTAATGATCCCCAAATATATAAAAGGGTAGCAGGTACCATAACGCCCGAACTCATCATGAATCAACATGTTTTTGAACACTCCTCATTGTGCAATTGTCCAACTTCCATTGAAACAGGTCCGCCATTACCTTCCAAAAAGCCCATGTTTCCCCCTTCGCGGCATCATCTTCGTTGACCACCTGGGTGGATGCGCTTCGCCGACGAGAAGCAAAGAATTTGGGAGGGTTCTACCAGGGAACATGATGATCATATACACATTGTTCAATCTATATATGGTCTATTGACCTACATTTAGGGTCATGTCTTCAAGTATAAGGTTTGATTTCAAATTGTAAATGTGTACCATATAGCCAACATGGAACACATGGGGTACAACCAAATGCGCATTGTCTATCCGCATCCGGCGTGACATACCCAACTCATTCAAAGCTGTTCGATGAAAAAACATCTCACCAAGTACAGCTTCAAAAAAGATGCTGCATGAATATGCCATTTTAGAAGTCATCTTGCAAAGCATCAACTAATTACCTGTTGTTTTCTATGGCTCCTGCGCCTTTCATCTTCAAGAAAGTAGTGGCATTTTGTTACAACCCAACCAGTCCAAAAACGCTTGAGAATCCAACTGGTGATCCTCCAACTGGCCGCGGCACCTTGTTGATGGCCTTACCCACAAGGCCAGTTCCACCGGTCACGAGCACCACGGTGGGACTCTCTGTTTTGCCATAGCCAGCCATCGGGGGCTTGGAACCGAAACGACCCAACTTGGCTGGACACCAGAACTGCGGATTGAGAATGATGCTTCACATTTGGGCCACAAAAAACGACCCCCCATCAAAATCAGCTCAATTTCATGGTTGGATTTAGAAATCGGATGGGTCAAAACCATCCTATACCTATCTTAAAAGGTTCCTCAATCCAATTTGGTGTGTTTTAGTATTGGCCGGACCGCCGGACCAAAATCCTCCAAGCGAGAACTCTGTATCCGCATTACAGCGGGTGTTAACCCGGAGTAACCAACCACAATTAGACGCATATGGGGGTTCACACCATGTCCAAAAGTAATTAATTAATTAAACATGTTCTGGTGCCTTGCACTTCCCCCCCAATGATGGTCTGGGGCTGATACAAAAAAATAGATGACAGATCCCTCTTTTCTAGATGACACATCCTTTATGCTTTTCTAGATGATTGCTTTTTCCACTACCTTCGATTCCCAGGTCACCAAAGAGAATACACCCTGGATCCATTGGATCCATGGGATCTACACCTCTGTTGAGTGGTAAAAGTCCAAGTCTCCATATGTTCCATGGGCCATGGGCTATCTTAGTTTAGAAGGAAATGATCCTTGATATCCACATTCTTCTTAGTTAAGTCCCTATACTAATCACCATCAAATCCCATTAAATCACCACTAATTAAATAGGTTAATCATAGTGTTTTAAGCCACTATTTCATATGTTAACCACTATTTTGTTTCAATCCCATTAAATCCCATTAAATCCCATTGAATCCCATTTAAAGGTATATTCATGTTCCATACCTTCTGCTTTGTTACGGGCACCGCGGCCATACCGCCATACCTGTCCTGTCTCCGAGGCCGCCAGGTAGACGTCATAGGCCAACAGCCGCTGAGAGGTTTGCGGTTCAAGCCACAGCACGGTGCCTGTGCCAATGGGTGGCCAGGAATCAAAAATCACTAGCCAAGATCCTTTATTAATGGGAACTAGATGGAACTAGTACTTACTTGCTGGCACAATATCTAGTGGATAATTTATATAAGCCCAGTTACAAGTGGATCAACCTTGCTTAGCCCATTCATAACCAGGCTTACAACCTGTTTACGAAGCAGGATTCACCTCCCAAGTAGTGGCAATCCATCATGCCAGTTATGATGGACATCATCGGCCAACCAGGGGGCTGCTGAGTCATGTCTGTGGATTCACCGAAAAAAAACATTTGGTAAAACAGAAACCATGGAATGGTTCCTCCTTCTTAACCTGAGGTTGTTGTGAGGTCACTCTAATTAGCCTATAATTAACCCAGAACAACATGATTTACCATCCACATGCAATAATTTCTTTTGAACATACGCTTTTCTTGGTGCCCAAGATTCAAGGCCAATGGGCCATGGTCGGAAATTAGAGCATCCAAATCTGATCCCTTCCCCCCAATATTAAACATACCCCAGAAATCATGGTGGGTGTAAGAGGATGAAATCACATATGTGGGGTTATTTGGGACCATGCAACGGGGGTGTTTAATGTCAACGGGCTCAAGCTGGATCTTCGAGAGTGACCAACATTTCTGGGTCAGTCTTTCACTATTCCACACCATACATTATTTGGGGATATGTCAAAACACTATGACCCCATTTGCAGGGAAATTCATGAATTGGGTGCTGAACATACGGTAACCGTAAGTTTGCCGGCTCTTTTGCTGTACAGGATATTGAGGTCTTGAGCCACGGCTATTTGAGGTCATTTGGCTGTGGTTTATTCCCTTACCGATGGGCCATAAAGATGACTCACCTTTTCCCAGGTGAGTCTTCAAATAATAGATTAACCAACAGGCTGGATCAACTAAAACAAATCACTAAGCCTGAAATACTGATATTTTAGGATACTCAGTTCCCAATCCAAACCATCATTCCATTGACGTCGCGACGGGAGGTCGTGATCAAATTTATCCAGACCATCCCCATGAAATCCACATTCTACCACCATTCTTGTTGGTTCAGTCACCATTTTGATGGCTAAATCACCACTATAATCACTTCATCCCATCAATATCACCATTTACTGGCATTCAACCACCATTAAATCACCGTTTCACTCCCATGAATGTACCACCCTTTTTTCACCAAGGTGAAGTTCACCAAAAACATCACCACTTTTTTCGGCCTCCCAGCTCTCCAAGATCTAAGTCCAAGTCCTGGAAAGACACACCTGGTCGGATCTGCCCGTTGGAATTCGTGGCTCATGGAATAGGTTTTTAATGGTTTAACCATGGGGAGATCATGAAAATGGGATATTGATGGTTAATGATCTTAATACCTGGTTGGTGCTATACCAACCCCTCTGAAAAATGATGGAGTGAGTAAGTCAGTCGGGATGATGACATGTCCAATATAGCTATTCATAACAATTACATCGTTTTTGATGGTTACCCTCTGGTAAACTAACATAGCTAGGAAAATAGCCATATGATATAGGTAAACAGCTATAAATCACCCATTTTCCATAGCTATTGGTTTCAACCCCTCTGAAAAATATGAAAGTCATTTGGGATGATTATTCCCAATATATGGAAAAATAAATTTCATGGTCCAAACCACCAACCAGCAGACCTATTCCCAATGGACTATTATGGAATATTCATCAACATTTACCCCAAACATCATCCAAATGTAAATAGATCGCACATGGAGCATCTGGGATGAATGGGAAAGAGTAGATGGGAAATTTCAAGGCACAATGAAACTACAAAATTCCAAGCAAGAGTTACGTTGTAGTATCCTCATGTCATCCTCATCTTCTCCCCATTTTAGGACCACTCAAATGGTTGAATACCACGCTATTCCTTTGCTCCGGACAAATCCACTACAAGGGTCATCAACCCGCAGACTTTGAGGGTCCCAAGTTGTGAGGTCGCCGGGAAAACCGGGCATTGGTTATGTCACCATCAAAACACTATCGTGTAATTATATGAGTCCACCTGAAACATTGAACAAGCACATTCCCTCCTAGTTTGATACTGATTTATGTTTTTCTGGGCCCACGTTTTACCCGAAACCGATGATCTTAAAAACGGTTGACTGTATTTATTCATTGAAAAAACACATTATGCCAATTAGATTTTCCAGATGTTCCCAAACATCCAATCCACAAAACTGTCCCACCCGCAGCCTGAGACCGACGCGAAAGCGTCCAAAATCAAGTGAGCCTGGTTCGATTTTCGGCCAGGTAATGGGTATAGCAACAATCACGGGGTATCTCTGGGGCAACCAAGAGAGTTGTAAGTTGGATTGGAACCACCATATACAATAGCTATGATGTATGGAAAGATTGTAGCTGTATGGAATTGCTATAATTTATAGCCACAACATGCCACGACAATGATATTCATAGTTCACTATGTGGGGACCAAAATGTGTATATCCAGATTGAAACAGAAAAACATACTCTATATAATGTCCTTTACAAACTCGGCCATAACTGGAAATGTTTATTATCGGAAAAAAGTGTTTACTAAGGGTTCATTACTGATTGGTGGCTTGAACCCCTCTGAGAAATATGTATGACATTCCCAATGTATGGTTAAAAAAACAACTTGTTGCAAACCACCAACCAGATTAACTATAAAAACATCATAAAGTTCCATCAATGGCTGGGCAAAGATTTTTGGCAGGTCACATCGAAAGACCAGCCTATTGAGGCGATGATGAAAATGACCATTGAAATAGTGGATTTCCCCATTAAAAACGCATGGTGATTTTCGATCGTTTTGTGTATGTTCACCAGAGGGTAATTTTATAAGGTTCTGGGCAGTGAATCTGCACACCTTTTCCATGGACACCTACTGATTACTGATCTTGGTAGAAGAACCAAGTCGTCCAAGCCCACTGTAGCAAGAGTCATGCACAGAATCCGCATCCGACAACATGGAAAACAAACACATCATTTAATGATTCTCGTGCTTCAAGTACCGCCTCAGCTGTGAACCTCAAAACCAGCCCCAGCTGTCCAAGTGTCTGAGGTGGAGCTGCAGCCGTGGATGTGAAAAAAACATGTGAAAAGGTCAGTTGCTGGATGTTGGGGGTCCTCAAGTCATCTCAAGTCATCTCAAGTCCACAAATCATCGCGTTTATCCAGCCTCCGGAGTGGTTTGCTCCGCCAATGTAGAGCTGGTATAAATCAGGATGTGAGTGAAGTTTCCTCGTGTCACAGGCTTTCCCGTGGCTAAGCAGCCTGTAAGGCATTGATGACACCTATTGAAAGCAGAGAATCACCAAACAGAAATGGACAATTGAATAATGTTGGTAAAACAATAATAAACCATCCCCCAAAACACCAGAAATAGGTTGTATAAACCAATCCCAAATGGGTGGTTTATTGTTGTTTTACCCGCATTATATGAGATGAAGCTGTGCACCTGCTATTGTGCTGGAAGATGATTGCAGTCGAGAGAATTTAGGTGGGTCATTGTCGGTCATTGTGAAATATGCCTGTTCAGGCTGGGAACTTACCATGTCTCCACCATCACTCTGATTCGTACCTCAAGTTAGCACAAGTCAAGTAGTGGGCTGGATCAGACAAGTCCCAAACAAAATGCGCATGTACAAATTCCTATCAATGACCATCCCCCAATCTGGGAACAGAGTGGAAGAGTTGCTTTCCTCTTTCAATTGCGGTAGAAGTGTGCTCGTCTCCTACAACAAAACCAGGCAGTTTCTGCCAAACCACATGCAAATTTGAACGTGTCTCACGCCCAAATAGTGACTTTCCCCGTTGGAACACACATCCAAACAAGGGTAAGTGACGTTCCCCCGTTGGAACATCACCCAACCACTGAGGCTATATCCAACTAAGTGAATTTCCATGGAACTTCACATGGGATTTCCGCCACCACGGTTTTTTTCGTCCCAGCGTCTCAGTGGGGTATCCACCAGAATGTCCATACTGGTCTCGTTCACCTGACCGTTCACCCTTTCCAGCCAGGAAAAAAAACACCTGAAAGTCAAAGTGGATCCAAAAACATGGGTCTGTCTGAAAATAATAAGGTACCCCCAGAATTTGATACTACTAGAATAACCATCTCAGAGGCATATGTCAGTTTCAAACAAAGCCACACTGCAAAATGGTTCTCTTAAAGCCTATGACATATATCTGCAGATATCTCCAGATATCCCCATATGAAGCCCACTATGACATAGATCTCCATGTATATATATATATATTTATATATGTATATATGGTCCCGTCCTCCGTCTCTCCACCCCCCCCCCCCATGGGTTGGGTCCCCAGGTAGTAGCCCCAATTCCCTTCTATTTGCAAGCTATTGGCAGCATTTCTGAGGTCCAGCGTCGTATTTGCTAGGTCTTTGCAGCATTTCTGACTACCAGCCTCGCATTTACTAGGTACATGCTACCTTTTAGGCGACCTACGTAGCACACATACTCCTTCAAAGTACCTACGTGCTACCTATAGTCATACATACATGTGCTATGTATCTACTGTATCTACTTCCTGTTTACTACCTGTGTACTCTGACAACACTACCTCTGTTGAACATATACCGTACCTACCATACATGTCAATGATGCCATGCATACCATACCTATCATATCTATCATACATACCATACATACCATACATATGAAATGTAATTACCACACCTACCATACATACAATAGCATACATACAATAGCAAGCATACATGCCATACATACCATACCTACCTTAGATAGGACATATTCCATACCCATCATAGTAACCATACATACCATACAGACCATACATACTGTCATATCAAACATACCATATCCAACAGACTTACATACCATACCTACCATCCATACAATACCAACCACTCATGCCATACATACCATACCTACCATACATACCAAACATACCATACTTTCCAAACATGCCATACCAGACCGACCATACACACCATACATACCCACCATACCATACCACACCCCCACCACACCACAGGGGGGGGAGGGGGACAGTGCCACACCCCCACCACACCACAGGGGGGGGAGGGGGAAGATCTCATATGGGACCAGTATATGGGACCCATCCACCACACCACAGGGGGGGGAGGGGGACAGTGCCACACCCCCACCACACCACAGGGGGGGGAGGGGGAAGATCTCATATGGGACCAGTATATGGGACCCATCCACCACACCACAGGGGGGGGAGGGGGACAGTGCCACACCCCCACCACACCACAGGGGGGGAGGGGGAAGATCTCATATGGGACCAGTATATGGGACCCATCCCATATGGGGGGGGCCTGGTGCATATATATATATATCCCATATATCCCATATATCCCAATGGATTTCCCAATGGATTTCCCACTGGTTTTCCCACTGGTTTTCCCCATTCTAGGCCCCCCAGATCCCCCACCGTGGCGTTGCCCAGGACTTCCGCGTGGCAAATCCACAGCGGCACCGAAGTCGGCGACGAGGCCAGGCGCCGGGTGTCCGAGGTGTTGGAATCTGGGCCCAGCAGCTGGTAAACATACAAAAAACGCTGGAAAATCACCATTTTTGATGGGTAAATCCTTTTTCAATGGCCATGTTCAATAGATATATAACATTTATAGATGATTTTCCCAGCTATAAACCTCTATTTAATAGGGATTTTCCATGGCTATGTTAGTCATAACCAGAGCCTAAACCAACATAACTATGGAAAGATCCACCATTTTATAGCTGGGTAAATCCACTATTTCAATGGCCATGTTCAATAGCTATCTTAAATTGCCAGAGGGTATAAACCATGGTTTTATGGAAAAAAAGGATAGTGAACAATCTATAAGTATAAGATCGAAAGATGGATTTGTTTGGAAACGTGTCTTATAAAACAGTGTATACGATCTATAATCCATGGTTTTTGGATGTTGAAAACACTTGGCTATGCTTAAGCAATTTCAACGAGCAACTCAGATCCACAACCTATGATGGGGCACGGAGAAAACACATCATGATATTTCACAGTTCAGGGCTGTACTCTACACATGGTTGAAATTGCTGTGCTTTGCGTACAGGGTATGATAATCTACTGTCATCGTGTAATATGTCAACTCGATAGTTCAGAACTGGATGGTAGAAGGCAATTTCTTGCAGCCCAAAGGTTCTTCCAAAGTACAGTAGCGTGACCTGTTGAACATGTTCAACATGGTGAGTTCTTGTATTTCCATTGCAAAGCTTATCTGCAGTCAGTACCCAATGTTTTTCTTGTTGGATTATGATAGTCCCAAACATATTGGGTAGTATATATACATGTATTAATCTATATATATATATACGTATAATCATATCATATTGGGTGGTGATAATCCCATATATTATATAACACAATCATACAATATACTTATTGGTAATCTATCTATATATATATATCATTATTATTACTATTATCATTAGTATTATCATCATTATCATTATTATCATGATTATCATTAGTATCATTATCATCATCATCATCATCATTATTATATATATATATATTCATATTCATATATAATCCCATATAAACATATATAATCATATAATCATCCCCCAACAGGCATTCTGTTGCCAGCGCTCATCTTGCACACCAAGGTGCCACCAGAGTCGCTGTCATCCGTGCTGTTGGCCCTGGGTAGCTGGTGGTAAATGTTTGCGTGACCTGCTGTTGGGTGCCTAAGGATGCCATTAAAAGATGTAAAACCTCTACTTGGTAATCAAACATGGCAGGGGAAATGCCCGAACTAAATTGGCATTTCAGAAAAAAACATCTATATAATTGGGGGATTGTCCATTGCCATGTTTGAGTAGTGGAAGGTAGTCCCAGTAGATTATGATTAACCAAGGGAAGAAATAAACGATTATAAGTGCAGTGTCAGCAGTGGGAACCCCCATTTTGTCCATAGACCAACACATGGCAGATCTTTGTGTTTTTACAATATCCAATATCCCGATGTTTGAAGGCTGGTGAATCTATGGACATTCTGATTCCGACGTGGAAATGTTGCAATTTCCATGTCTGAAACACCCAGGGGAACACAACCCCATTGTATATGAAATTCCTATTGAGGTGGGTCTTCCGCCAAGCCACAGCCTCAACAACACCTCATCCCATCCTAATCCGATTTAAATTTCAGAGATATCTAATGGTTAATGATGATTGATTAAATGATATTAATGGTTAATCAATCATCAATATCATTACTGTATCATTGATGGTTTGATTAACCTGCAATATGGGTTAATTTATATTTCAGAGATCTAATCTAATGGTTAATCTGGGTAAATTACAATATTTCACCAATCTAAAATCAGACCTGGGGATGATTCCCATCCCAATCATCTAGAGTGACGTCGCTTTTGTTTACCTAAAACGATCCGCACTTTGGCTGGTGCAAGATCCATTTCCGTTGGCGTTGGCCCCATTTTTCGCTGGATCAACAATGATGAAAACTTGTTTCTTTTTCTGTTGATCAAACATCTAACCTAATCATCTTTCGCTTGGGGATGGTTTCAACTCTCCTGGAAATATAGTAGTCACTTAGTAGTCATTGGGTAACGGCATCCCGAATGTGACAGATTTTTTTCTCACCAACCAGTCTTTGGGTTTATCTGAAAATGTGGTATCCCCAATTAACCCATGGATTGAATGGCTCTTTTCTATTGGATATCCAATGGTATCCCCTATTTTCAGACAAACATCAAGTGGGTGATTTATCCCATTGAATTCCACCATAGGTCCTGATAAATCCCTACATCTCCCAAAATATCTTCATTGATATACCATGAAAATCCAATGTTTGATGGTTAAGTCAACATTAGATCTCAGGAATATCGAATGAATATCCCAAGATATTCCCATTGCAGTAACTGCCCGTCAAATACCAACGTTTGATGGTGAAAATTGTAGAACTATCCACTACAGTAAACCATCAATGGTATTAAACATGCAATTAAACATCATTAAACCTTAATAATCTCCACTACTATGGTATCTATACCTACATATTAGTAGCTATATTAAATATGCCATTCCTAATAATATGCCATTAAATCGCCATGATCCCAGGCATTTTCCGTCCGATCTCCAGCTCTTCGCCAAGCCACAAGTCGTTGACCACAATTCTCACGCTGGCGGTCGAGAAGGACAAGAGCTGCAATGAGGTGACAGCTGCACCTTCAAGGGCGATTTACTCAGCAACATCTTAGGATTTCACAGAGGAAGATGGTGTTAACCTGCATAGGTCAATACAATATATTATTATATAAGTAGATTTGAGGTTTGTTTCATTGATATGTCAAAAAAATAGATAGGATTACAAACAAACTTACAACCCGGGGGCGGCCTTCCTGTACCAATCAATTTGGGATCTCAAGTGATCAACGGTACACGACCAAACCTGAGCACCGTGAGCACCGTGGGATCTTAGCTGTCCCCATCCATCACCCGCTAAACATCATCTGGTTGGTGGTTGACCTACCCCTCTGAAAAATATGAAAGTCAATGGGAAGGATGACATCCCATATATTATGAAAAATAAACATGTTCCAAACCACCAACCAGTCATGAGACTACCTAGACATTGCCCTGATTTTTAGGATTCTACTTCCAACTATATGAGAGCGGTCCAAAAATTGCTAACCCCAATGTACAGAGCCCAAGTGTGACCCAGATCGAGGAACTGTCAACTCCTTGATGCAAGAGCTCTTCCCTGCGCCAGGAGGGACAGCTGAGCGACGTTCCAAACCATATCCATGTCATTCTATGAAATAACGCGACATGTACATGTAATATCATGTAATTACAGTAATCTCACATGTACATTCTGCAAATAAGAGCTATGGGAACATGTTTTAAATAAGGCTTGGTTTTCATAGGGATTCCCAGCTCATGGATTATCACCAATTGCAAAATGAATCAACCATCATGGGAAATCGTATCAAGACCACCACTTGATAGGTGTTTGGTAGTCACCCCTAAAACAACATGGAACCCTGAATGTAGAGGTCATTTCCACATCAAACATCTGCCAGACCAGACCTTATCGAATTTCATTGGCTGGTTTACCTCCACTAAAACACACGCCCGTCAATTTCATCATCCCAAATAGGAGGCGAATGGAGGCGAACATAATCCCAAAATTTGAAACCAGCCGGACCTGTTTCAGTACATTTCAGCCGATGACAATTTTAGTTCAATAATCAGCCGGAATATCAGCCGGAACCAAAAAAGACGAAACCACCAGCCAGGCTCATTGGTTAAGAGATACCCAATGTCATTAATTATTGTGATATCCAATGGTTCATTATTACATATTCTTACTATATAAATGGTTCAATCCAATGGATAACACAATGGGATAACAATCATTAATGGTTCATATTATCCGGTGATTTGCTTCAATAAATTTGTGTTACCTCACTGGAAGCCCCGCATCTTCTGGTGAAAAACCTCCAAATTTGACCGGATTTCAAGTGTCAATTTTTAGCAATAACAAACCATCTCCAGGTTTACCATAAATGGGTGGATCATACCATCAATCCATAGCTTTATGACATTGTTTTACAATCATCACCACGATAGACCTCCAAGTTTGAATCCACATGTTACGGACCATACCCTCCGGTAAATTAATATAACTATTGAAAATCACCATGTTTTATGGGTAAATCAACCATAAATGGCCTTTTTTAATAGCTTTTTCTATGTTTACCAGAGGGTAAATCCACCCGTTTTCCCATGGAAAAACTCCAAAAAATCCTCTGCCATCCACCTCAAGGTGGCCACGAAGCTAGTGGCATCCACATTGATCGCAGCTGTCAAAGCCACCAACTGCGAGGCCTATGCAGGTCCAGCTGGATGTAAGGAGATGTTCTGGCCCACAGAAGGTTGAACAAATCCCATTAGATTCCCGAAAAAAAACAAAACCCATGGGAATATTCCATGTTATATAGCCATGATATTACCATGATATTCCATGATATTACCATGATATTCCATGATATTACCATGATATTCCATGATATTACCATGATATTCCATGTTATATAGCTAATGGTAATGGTAATATCATGTCCATGACTATCCCACCCTGTTTGAGGCTGCCGTCGCCATCCCCTGGCCACACCTGGGCCACTGGCACCTGAGCCAAAGTGGGAATCACAGTGGGACATCACAGCTGGATCATGCTGGGTTTAACAAACCACGTTCCACACAAAAACATGATGGGGATTATGGGGATACAGGGATACAATATTCTAAACCCGGCAGCTGGGAAATTAAGATGGGTGAATGTTCATTACCAAAAGGAAGTTGCGCAACACATGAACGGTTGAATGCCCAAAATTGCCAAACGTATTCCACCACCATTTCAAGTGACTCTGAACCCGGCAACAAAAATAACAAATTGGAAAACACATTTTTTGTTTCCTGAGAAACATTCGGAATGCCTGTCTGAAGGGGAACAAATGATAATCCATGGCCCACCAACATGCAAATGCCAAGGGCGTTCGACTCGCATACGAAGGGTACTTGGACTTCATTCCACGTGGAGTCTATAACATGGTGGTTTTATGTTTAGTTTCCAGAGAAAAAAAGGATTCTATACTACCCAGCCAAGGTTGGGGATGTTTAAGAAACATCAGGCGGATATCTAAATGTGAAGGGGAAACTTAAGGTTGAGACTTATACATTTGAGGTTAAACACCATGGTGCTGCGTACGATTTCCCAAGAGACCTTCCATTGGGATCAACAACTTGCGAGACATATACATTGTATTGGATGCCACACTGCATTCATGTCAATCCTGGTCCTTTTCCTTGAAAGTACCCTTGGGAAAACCGATCAACTAAAATTCTAGGATCCGGCATTGAAGGGCGACTTTGCGCCAACATAATCACAAAAATGAAAACTTGGCCGAAACTGCCGAACTGTCACCACCATGGTCTGGTTTGCCCCAAGTCACAACTGACCCATCAGCCAGGATCGCAGCAAATGCATAGCGCGTTGATTGAACCTGCTGGACACCTTTGAGCTGATATTGGACTTCAGAGCAGTTACCACCAAAATATCGTTTGCCCCAAGTCGCGACTGACCCATCGGCCAGGATCGCAGCAAATGCAAACTTCGTTGCTTGAAGCTGTTGGACACCCTTCAGCTGCCCTTGGACTGGAGAGCTGTTACCACCATGGTCTGGAGAGCCCCAAGTCACGACTGACCCATCAGCCAGGATCGCAGCAAATGCACACAACGTTGCTTGAACCTGCTGGACACCTTTGAGCTGATCTTGGACTTCAGAGGTGTCACCACCAGAGTCTCGATCGCCCCAAGTCACGACCGAACCATCAGCAAGGATCGCAGCGAATGCAAAGCCTGTTGCTTGAACCTGCTGGACACCCTTCAGCTGATCTTGGACTTCAGAGCTGTCACCGCCAGAATCTGGTTCGCCCCAAGTCACGACTGACCCATCAGCCAGGATCGCAGCAAATGCACTGTTCGTTGCTTGAACCTGCTGGACACCTTTGAGCTGATCTTGGACTTGAGAGCTGTCACCACCAGAGTCTGGTTCGCCCCAAGTCACGACTGACCCATCGGCCAGGATGGCAGCAAATGCATCCCTCGTTGCTTGAACCTGCTGGACACCCTTCTGCTGATCTTGGACTTGAGAGCTGTCACCACCAAAGCCTGGTTCGCCCCAAGCCACAACTGACCCATCAGCCAGGATCGCAGCAAATGCGTAGCTCGTTGCTTGAACCTGCTGGACACCCTTCAGCTGATCTTGGACTTGAGAGCTGTCACCACCAAAGTCTGGCCTGCCCCAAGTCACGACCGACCCATCAGCCAGGATCGCAGCAAATGCATAGCTCGTTGCTTGAACCTGCTGGACACCCTTCAGCTGATCTTGGACTTGAGAGCTGTCACCACCAAAGCCTGGTTCGCCCCAAGCCACGACTGACCCATCAGCCAGGATCGCAGCGAATGCAGACAGTGTTGCTTGAACCTGCTGGACACCTTTGAGCTGATCTTGGACTTGAGAGCTGTCACCACCATAGTCACCATAGTCTGGTTTGCCCCAAGTCACAACTCGGTCACCTCCAGAGCAATACAAGGCAAAAGCTGCGTCGGTTGCTGCTAGCTTTGCCTCTACGGCGATGGCTGTCAGGTGGTCTCCATCTTCAAGTCCCGCAGCTTGCAGAGACACTGCAGGATCCAACGCGCGATGGTCTGCAGCCACAAGCCTCAAGAAACCACGCTGAAAGGACTTCTGTGCCAGAACCCTCAAGTCCCCTACTTTGGAGGACTGCGGAATCGAAAACTTCTCACAGCAACCGCTTGGCAAAGCTACAGTAACTTGGAGCATATCTCAGGAAACTCCAATGTAACGTATGGACCAGATTCTCCAATTGAGCCAAACTGCACCACTTTCTGAGCATTGGACAGACCCCCATTCGAAACCCCTTGCTGAAATAATTGGGAACTGTTTGTCCAAGGGTCATGATAAGCAAAGCCTTCTGATTCCATTCTTGACTATTGCAGCTTATAATCCCAGCCTTGAATCTTGTAAATCTACCTCTTACTTCGATGTGCAATGAAGGGATTGTGTTTTATCTTTTTTTTTAGCAACAACCACCAAAACCTTGATCCAAATGCGGAAGTTGACAAACATGGCCAGAATTGAGCCAATCCAGAATCACACGCTTCAATTTTAAAAAGTTACCACAAAGATCCACAAAGAAAGTTACCACTTAAAGCTTAAGATCAAACAATATTCTTCAACTTTATACCCATGTGTGGCAGGCTTCTGATAGTTGTTCGTTTCGGGTGCAATTTTCCCAGTCGAGGTGCTGAAATCTTGTAGGTCACGTCCCATGTGGTGCTCAAACGTCTTGCTGACACGGCAGTGATGGAGGCGATGATGATTTCTGACTGACCTGGGGCGTTGTGGATCAGGACTGATGGACACATGACCTTTTCTCTTTTAGAGCCTATGTTTGAGGGCAAAATAGGTGAAATGCCCGCTGTGATGTTTGGATCGTATGCATGCAAACACATAAATAGTGCATATTGATATACACTAGATATGTGCATAGGTAGACAAACAATGCAGTATAATGTATATTAAAATATATTCACGCATATACATACATTGTGGGTCTACATCACTAATGTATAATAGTATTATAATAGTATATAATAGCATAAACATAATACATGTTCTAAATCTTTAAACAATCATTGGAATAATAAATAAACCGTGTTTGACAAATTTGTCAAACAATGAACTATCGTGTAAATATTCATATCTTATCGTGATAGTTATATTTTTGAAGAATGGTATCTCTCTGTAAATATATATATATAATCTCGAATTATGGTTATTTTGCAACATGGTATCCAACTATCCAATGATGATGTTCTATGATGTTGTATCATATATCATAAAACCATGCTACCGTTATGTAAACCCATAGTTATGGCAACCATCATCTAACTATGTAGCCACCCCACAAGTTTGTTGCTTGAAACCCACTCCGCACTAAGCTGCCCCTACTGACGCCCAGCATGGTCGCAAGGCTCGCCTGCACTGCCTGGGGTAGCTGATGGTGATGAACATGCTGTGATTTCGAGCATCAAACAAGGTGATGTTCCATCATGATTGTTCATGATTTACCATGAGAAGAATGGATAGTTTCTATCTTGTTTATACTTTAGCATCCATGAAACATGAACAAATGAGAATTAACAATGAACAACATATGTTATTCATTTGAGACCTCAAGCTGTGGGAGGATGCGCCCCCAAGTTTTGGCCACTGAAACGTGTCTGTTTTCAAAGCCTTGACGTAGTATGTCTACCTCTGTTTGGACAAACCATGTTGCTTGTACCAGTGGTCTTACCGCCACTCTTCATGCGCCTTCTGATGATCAGGGCCAATTTTAGCATTTAGGGCCCAAGTACCGGTGATCAGTTGGGTTTCAATAAGGAGCGTTTGAGTATCAAGCCAGTCATGGGAATGAGAATTTCACGCAATTGCCAATGTTCAGAGCCTGTTCCAGTGGTTCAATATCTACATTGGTAGATTAGTGTGGAATGCAATGATGTCCTACTAGTAAACTAAATTGGGTATGGTTTGTAATTGACCCTCATCTGTTAGAACCAGGTCAAGTATGGTTGACTATAGACTTTGCCCATGTTACACTCACTTTGGTGAATTATAACCCGGTTACTCATGGCTAATCCTATCATTTTTAGCATCTGCAACTCATGGGTTATGGATCAAACTTGGGGTACCGATGGATCCACTAATTTGGTCATGTTTGGTCTGGTCTTGAACCATTGTATATATTATATATATAATATACATAATATACATAAATATCTATATATATATATATATACATGTACATCTGATATAGTCTTGAATCATCACAAATTATTCAAGCAACTTAATACATATTAGTATAATTTAGTATACATATATGTCTAACTATTATCTATAGTTCTATATAGTTCTATATGTCCAGATTCCGCCAAGGCACCGCCAGGACCTGCGTCTCCGTGGCCGCCACGCTGAGCGACAGCGAGCCCGTGACCTCCGCCACCACGCTGTCCTGGCGATCCGTGGGGGAAACTGGTGCTGGGGGGTGGAAATTAACCATGGAAAATCATGGAAAATCAAGGATTTGGACGGAATTTTAGCTGGAAAATCAAGGATGAATTGTAGATTTGATTGACCATGAACATTTGGCAATTGAATGCATTTGAGAACCAAAAAGACATGGGATATGCAATGGACATTTGGGAAGCCTGGTTTTGGATCCCAGCCTCCATCCAATACTCCCCTGCCAAGTCGGTAGTGGGGCGGGAGGTCATTGTCCGGGGCGAGTGATAGAAACTTACCATACATGGAGAATACGGGTTGTAGGTTTAGAAGAAATGAGCAGTAGAACCATGGGTCTTCCACACACACATCAACCAAAGTCTCACCAGCAAGAGAACAAACATATTCTTCTCACTTCCACGTAAATATACTTTAGTGACTAGTCCATAAATTGGGTGTGTCTCCAAAAATTGGCTAGCCCAGCCCACAACAAATGGTTTTGAAATGGTTTGAACACAATGTTACCATGAAAATTGCAATGAATTGCCTTTTAATCCCCCATGGCTTGACTGGTTGCTTGAGGGAAGGGTTACGCACAATGGGTCAGCTCACTATTCTGAATAAATTAGGTGAACGAAGCCCTATAGAATAATCATTCACCAACCATCCTTTATCAACTATATGACTATATCCCCATGTTTGATGGTTTGAAATCACCATTGAAGTCCATTTGAGACAAAATCAAATTATGCTTGATGGTTAAAGTCACCATTCAACCTCATTCAAAACAAACACATATGCTTAGGGTTAGAATCACCACTAAACCGACTATGCCCCACCATTGAAGTGAAAAACTGTGTGTAATGGTCAAACATCACCATTAAACTCCATTAATAAAATTCGGAAAGTTACATTCCGCTCTAAAAAACACCCCCAAAAAATGGCCCCAAAACAACAACATCAAAAAACGTTCAAAAAGACCCTGAGGTCATCGGAACCGCCGCCGACATCGGAAGCGCCGGTCCTGACACGCTTCCGCCAGGTAGGCCACGTAGCTCTCGACCTGCGCCGCATTTGTGGGCTTCAGCCAGGTCAGCGAGCCGCCGAGGTTCGTGAGGTCCAGGTCCTTGGGGGACCAAATGGGGGAAAGGTGGAGGGGTTCAGAACTCATAGGTTTTCATAGGTTTTCATAGGATAGAGGTCTGATTTAGAAACATTTTCTATGGATGAACTGATTCTTTTCATAGGATTTCATGGCTATCAAAGGGGGAGTTCAAGCCACAAACATGAATGATTCGGATTGCAACCACGAGTAGAATGGGATGAACATCAACACCAATTTGGACATCAAAATGGAATCAGTAAATGCTAGATCTGGGCTTGGTCAAAATAGAATGGCAACCCACAGCCTTGCTGGCCATTTGCAAGATTCACTGTGCACATATATTGTATGTGCGTCCTCAGTTTGGATATATTTTGGATGGTATAACTTTATCGTGGTAAATTGGTTAAATGAACCAAAGATGAGTGTTTCCAAGCTGCACAGTTTCAGTGGTAATTACTATTATCGATTATAACAAACATGTGCGACTGAGTGAAGTGTAAACATTGACAATCACTTCAAAATGGATCATCCAGCAGATTCCATGCATCCCGTCTTTGCTAGGCAGGCAAACAATATGCTCATATATCTAACAGTTCCCTCAGCCAACCATGGCTAGTCTTAGATGCCCTGCAAAATTCTGTCACTGTCTTTGCTGTCTTCCCCATTACTCATCAACCTACAGTACTCAGCTACACGGGTTTGCCGGTTTGCCCCCCAAAAAAAGGTATAGCCAAGAACCCAGGAGTTTAAACCTCATTTTCTTATGTTGTATCATTTCTTTATGGCCATAATACCGTAGGTGTCCCATCTTCTCCCCCCGGCTTGACCCCCTTCCCGGTGCCAAGCCACGTCGTCCACAAAGTCGATCCCCGACACCGAAGCCGACGTATCCGAAATCGCTAGGCCTGGCCAAGAGCTGGGGATGTCCCAGCCACCCCCCCAGAAATACCACGAGTTAGTCATTGGGGATCATCATCCCAATTTTTCTATGGAAAATGACAAGAGATTTGAAACCGCCAACATCGGAGTTTGAGTCGGTTTGATATTGGTTTATGAATTTTAAAAATCAAACCAGAGTTACACATCCATCTGAAAATGGATTATCTACCAGTATCTACCAGTCAAACATGGTTGAACAGGATGAATGCGGGGAGGCATGGTAGGGCCATCAGTCTACCTGAGAATAAAAACATGTCAGATAAATAGCTTCAAAACAAACATGTTCTAACAAACATAACCTTAGAACATGTTTGTCTTGAAGATATTAAAGACTAGTCTCCAACATAATTCCACAGCCACTGATCTGAAACTCTGTCAATTTGACTCTTATTAGTGGTTGTAGTCCCCCTCATTTTTTGCAAGTGTGTTGTTGCATGTAGCCGCAGTATCTATTCTTGATAGTATCCCATGTTCAATGGCCAATCCTCGCTTGAGTGAGTACTTAGGGGATGCATTTGAGGTTGAGATGGTGAACAAAAAATAGATTTTGATTTGAGTATATTTATAACCAGAGGATCAAAAACCCTATAACCCCACCTGGCTGCTCTAGGAACTTTGACTGGACTCCCTTTTTCACAATGAAGACACAAGCACTGCCACCTTTTGGACTTTTGGCTAGGTTCCTTATTTTGGGGCATTAAAACAGCTTCATGAGTTCAATATATGTCAATAGTTCAATAGTGCATATTCAATTTACTTGGTCAATACTCCACTTGCTCAAGTTTGTTCAAGGTCTTGTGATATTTCTTCTATTTTCTTCTGCTGTTTTCCTGACGTAATATGCTCCTCATACAGCCCAAATCTGAATCACCGCACCTATGGGTGTGGTCTGTTCCACCAACTTCGAGCGCGTGTAGACCTGCAGGATGACGGGATGCACCGCTCTTCAGAGCGACCCGCCGACCCGCTATGGCCTCAACCAACGACCAAACGTTGTCGGTCTCTGCTGGGAGGAACGTCTCATTGAGGCCCAGGGGAATCTCCGTGCCTCACCATTGGGAGGTGGCGTGAGGCCACTACCAAATGCATGAAGAGAGGCAAACATCGCGGGAAACAAAAAATAGTTTCCACGAGATAAAGTCCACCTGTTCCAATTTAGGGAGTTGTAATTATACACAGTGGTGCCTCCTATAGTTATGCGTTGATTTGCAAGACAAAGATATATCCATCACTAACCCTAAGTGGGCTACTTACAAGCTGGCTCACACTATGGGGCACAATGTTGAAACCCATCCATCTACAATGCATATATTGATGCAGCCAAACGTGAATTGGATTGTCAGCCCACAGGGGAATTAAAACGTATTGATACTGTGCCGACAAAGGGCCTGCTTGGACGGGGATATGTAACATAACTGAAAATCCGGAAAAGAGGTGTTTGGGGAGATTAAATGACAATTCGCTGATGGCGAATTAGACTTGTTTGCAAACGGAACCCAGGAAAAAATGTTGGGATGGAAAGATTCCAGTTTTGAACCAGATTCATGGTACGGTCATTTCAAGTGTGCTCAATTCTTTTAAATTACTACCTTTACATGCCAAAGGAACATATTGATCCGCTTGAGTATAGGCAGTTTATGAATAACTAAAACAAGATCGACATAAAAAAAAAAATGTGCAAAATATCAACATAGGATGATACCCACTTCAGCATTGATCGTCTATAGATTTCTCTCGATTTCCGGGACCATCAGCTGCCCCTGGCCTATCAACGAGCGCGTCGATGCGCCATCTGTTAGGTAGACACGGTAGGCTTCCACCCTCCTGGGGCGGCGCGTCCCTAGTGGCCGCCGGTTGCCGGTGTGAAGCATCAGACGTGGTGAGTTAACCATTAAAAAAATGGTGGTTAAACCAGGTTAAACCTATCATAACCTATCAAAAATATTCAAAAATAAGGATCTCACATGGTTTTACCACCATTTTACCATCATGACATGGGAATATCAATTTGGCCACTTGTGATATCAAACACTAGCCATGACCCGGCACAACCAGTTCATGAATAGATCCAAGACATTCCACCACATTTCCATCGAAGTGTAAGTTTTCTTGAGGCTATTGAGGACACAAGGTCATCATTCAAAATGGCACATCAAGGACAGAAACGGCTTTGGTCGAGAATCAGAGCCGCAGAACATGGCTACTGTTGGGCTACTTGTTCCGGTCTCCACGTTTGGTCCCACTTGAACCAGTGAACCCCCATATTTCGTTCATATCACTGCCCTAGACATCCCCGAACCACGTCCAGGTCCACCTGGTATCGCTCGGGGCGTTCCACTGCACCACACCTCCAAGATCACCGAGATCCAAGTCCTGGTCACCGTCGATGATTCAGCCAGTTCATGTGGGAAACCCAATGCCATGAACCTACCATTTAGGGATGGTTTATATGATGTTTATAGTATGATGGTTTACTATTGGGTTTAGCGGTTTACCATAAATCCAGTAATGGATGATGTAATGCTTCAAATCAAGGTTCATGGGTTGTAAGTTGAGGGAGTTGATTTCGGGATTTTATCATGAACATGAAGGGATGATGGAGTGAGATGACTCTGGGTATACCCTGAATAAAGTCAGAAGAGGGATGAAGTGTAAGATTTGTAGGATATATATATATATACACATTATAGTCAACCGAAAGTGCTATGGCACCACACATACGTATTGCAGAAAGTATCTCCCCCAGCGGAAATGGGTATGTGACAATCATATCATTCAGGATTCTCCTATCCTGGGCATGTCCAGACTGTTGAAAAATGCGGAGACTCGGCGAACTGCTGAGGAAATATCATTCTAGCAGGTCTGTGTTGTGGTAACTTGGTGATAGGGTGGATCCCAAATAAAGCTGGGATTAAGGTAGAAAGAAAGCAACAAGAGAAATCACATAAGGTGAAGGGCCAACTAGAATCCATCATGTGAGGGTCTGTGCATGGTTGAGGGTCTCAAGGCACTCGATCTCCAAGCTTTTGTTGGGCTTAGCAAAGACCCATGACAAACATCGTGGATTGCTGAAATGTGTACTAGCTAAAATTGCAACAACAAAGAGAAACCATGTGTACTAGCTAAAATGCATGCATAATTTTCAGCACAAATCATACATGGGTTGGACGGAAGCTACCTATTCTACACTTCCTCAATGTGGTCGGGTGCAGACCCATGGTGAAACACCTGGTGGACTTTTTTTGTGCAATGCCTTTTTATCATTGATGGATCTGTCTATAACTTTTATTCAATGTGTCAACATTTGAATGATTTGAGGGTAAATGTCATGGTCTATGCCATGCGCGGATGCTCTGGGCGATGATATCTTGTTGATCTCCAACGCGCGCGGCAGATTTCGAGACATCCGTGCCGTTTTTTTTTCGCCAGTGCCGTTCTGTGCCGTGCATGGGCGCCATTTTTTTCAGTGGTGTAGCGCCCAGTTCTTGATCTCGCGGCAAGGCCGTGCACAATGACAGCGCAGCTGGTGGGGCCGCCATCCCATAAGGAACTGGAGAGGTCACAGGGAAACAGTGGAGCTTCCGATTTTTCTGTGAGGGTGCCACCCTCCATGCCCTCTACTCCAAGCTGGAAAAATGGATCCTGTTTCTACAATATCAGGATATATCAGGATCATGTAACCAACAGAACATGAGAACATGTTTCCCAATTCACCCAGACCATCCCTCTGCTACCCCCTTTTTGACACGCAAGAAATGAAGGAAAAATGGGGGGATGGAGCATCTCCGAAGTGATTGGCAAACAACCCGTGAAACTTGACCATTGTACATATGGCATCCCAATGTTTCCCATACTTACTTATTAAATCCCCCATGTTTGATAATACAACCACCATGTTACATGGTAAACAAACCCATTATCTCCTTCCCCCAGGCCATCTATGGCCATCGCGGCCGCACCTGATCCACGAACGCGAGGCCCGAAACGCTACTGGTCACATCTTCCATGCGTAGCGCGAAGGGCGTGGACTGTTCCGCGCCACTTGAGGCGCTGTAGACCAGGAGATGTGTCCAGTTGGCCAAGGGGAACCTGAGCAGCGTCGCGCTTGCGGATGATGGGGATGGCACAATGGTTTCGGATCCTTGGGTCTGAAAATGACAAGATACTAAAGATACTTACTGCTTGGTGATTAATAATGGCTATTGATAGTGATTAATTAATAGTGATTAATAATAGTCATAGTGGTTGATAGCCGTTAATAATGATCTGGTTGGTGGTTTCAATCCCTCTGAAAAATAATGAAAAATATGAGTTCGTCAGTTGGGATGATGACATTCCCAATATATGGAAAGTTTCATTCAAAATTCCATGGTTCCAGTCCCCACCAAGCAGCTTATAAAATCTCATGGAATGATGGTATGGGATGTAATGATATATAATGGAGATACTGGGATGTTGATTCACCATAGGACGGACTGAGTTTGGGCACATCATTTCTATCCCAGTCATAGGAGATGGATTGATCCAGTGCCTCTCAGCTAAATCATCCCAGTTGTTCATCAACATGTTTGGTTAGTTCTACTCCAATCATCCGAAAAATCGATCCGGAACCCCGTTTAAAAGGACCTGAATGTTCAAGGTCTTCTTAAACAAGTGTCAAAGTGATATCTGATATTTGGGTTCCACATTGCTGGTATATAACATAAACCAGCCACTTCTCAAACGGTTCCTGTACTTGGAAGATCGTCCTGCTGATGCACTGGTTTGCAAGTGGCCCATCCAGTTAACTTCAACCAACTCACCAAACTATATCTCATTAAATCACCATTTTGCTAGGGCCCCACCATGTAGCCCTTCACTGCTCGAATGGTGGGGCCCCGTCTCCAAGATCCCCCACTCCACTTCCAGATCCAGTTCTTCCACGGCCACACTGACGTTGCCAACCTGCCAGTTCCAGGGCTGGTGGGGTGCGCTTGACATGACATGACATCGAGCATCGAACGGGATTGAAGTATCAACGAAATTTTGCAACATGGCCTTGATAAATTGGGATTATATTGGCACCCAAAATCAGAGCCAATTGCCACCATCTTTTGTGGGATTTAAAGAGAGATTTCACCTGGAAGGATCTGGCTGAATGTGCAATTGGATATGGGGTGATGAGACCTACGCAGAGCTATAAAGCCACACATGTGGCATACTAGGGAGGCAACGCTAAAAAAACAAAATGTCGGCGCAAAATCATCGTTACCACTGCTTCTCGCATACAAATCTCAATTTCTACAAGCTAAATCCATGTTTTACAGGGATCTCAGAGTTTAAAACCTATCCAAATCCATATGTTCCTCTATTGTGCCCTATGTTTTAGATATCTCCATACCCTCCACTACTCAAAACATGGCCAAATTGGAAAATCCACCATTCAAAATTGGATGATTTTCCCAGCAGCCTCCATTCTTGATAGCTATTTCCCAGCCAGCCATGTTTCATTACACCATTCACCGGGGAACGTTGCACCCCACGAGCTACACGAGACCTGCATCCGTTCACAAATGGCCAGGACATGCTCTGGCACTTGGACGGCCAAGTATTGGATGCCTGGAACCTTGGTAAAAGGATCAGCGTCCCATGAATGATATTGGAGATACATGTGATATCCATAGTTGTATGTATGTAACTGTATATACAGATAAATATGTAAATGTGTATATATATATATATTTATACTTGGTTGATGTAAGATGAGGTTTGTCTCAAACATAGGGTACCAACAAAAAAACATGTTAATCACTGTTAATCATGAATCATTCCAATTTTATCATTAAAAAAAACAAACCTGGGGTGTACCTTGCCACCATCCCATCTTAAGATGGACAATAACACGTGAAGTGACGAAGAAAACATCCTCAATATATCTCGACATATCTCCATGTTCAGCACATCTTACCGTAACTTACCCCACTGATGGCTACTTAGTTGGGATCAACATGCCGGGGTTGGCACTGCCCCATTTCTGGTGGGTCATTGGGTAAAACATGGTCAAACCATTTCGCCACTTGGACAGCTGTGGATGTCACTTGGACGTGCTAAAATGTCCTGTAAAACCCCGAATCAAAGCTTTAACAACTTGAGCCACACACAAAACGTTTTGACATTTTGGTACTAAGTGGGGTTGGTATTTCATGGCAGTCCAGCTAGAATCATACAACCAGAGCAAATCAAGCAGGCAGCAATAAAGCCTGAGGAAATCATGTGGGTGTGGCGGGTGTGCCCTCACACATCAAGGTTTGGGACCTTCATAGGTCCTACCAAGAGCCAAGTCGCTGTTTCATTCCCTTCATCTGGCAACCAGCCTTCAAGTGGGACCTGCCCGGCGCACTCCATGATGCGACATCGCTCAAGAACGTCACCCAACCAACAGTGATGAACATCTCCAACACTGGATACGTTCTGGGGATGTGTTTAATTCAAACCAAAACCATGTGAGATTCCTCTAAGTACTACAAGTCCACCATAGTACCCAAAGTCTGACGTTTTATCCTCAACTGCTACCATTTACCTCATTCCCTACAGTATGACATGGCCATGTTATCTGGTTGGTGGTTGACCAACCCCTCTGAAAAATATGTTCGTCAGATTGGATCATCATCCCAACTGGGAAAAATAAATGGATATCAATGATCATTCTAACTGGTTCAAATTGGATCATTATCCCAACTATTGGGGAACATAAAATTCATGTTCCAAACCACCAACCAGAGTATCTATAGTAAATATCTATATAGTTGATGATATGATATATCTAGTATCTATAGTAACTGGTTGGTGGTTTTAACCACCAACCAGTTATGGGTATACCGTCCATTGATCCGGGCGGAAACCCCAAGGCCCCGCCTCTCCAAACTGCACGTTGGAGACCGTCATTTCCGTTGACACTGCCCTGGCGGGACCCCGGAATCGTAGGGAAGGACCATGTCATACATCAGCTATCCATGGTATATGTGGATAAATATGTACAACTTAATTTATATGATATACCAGTAGTACCGCACAAGGCGGTGGCGGAAGTTTCAGAATAGGAAACCTATAGGAGACGTTGGTTGTTGTGAATCACGGATGGCAGAGCGAATCCACTGATTGACTGAAAGGTGGTTGGAGTTGTGTTTGCTGGAATGGTTGCAATGGTTGCAGTGGTCACCTCACCCACAACTGCTGGATGTAGTGTGATGTACTGCAACTGTAGTTGTAGTTGTAGTGTAGTGGAGTTGTAGTTGTGGTGTAATGTAATTAGCGTAGTGTGGTTGCAGTCATATAGTTGTAGCTGTAGTTGTTTTGTAGTTGTAGTTGTAGTTGTAGTTGTTGTAGTTGTAGTTGTAGTAGTAGTAGTAGTAGTAGTAGTTGTTGTTGTTGTTGTAGTTGTAGCTGTAGTTGTTGTGTAGTTGTAGTTGTTGTGTAGTGTAGTTGTAGTTGTTGTAGTAGTTGTTGTTGTTGTAGTTGTTGTTGTAGTTGTTGCTGTTGCTGTTGTTGTTGTAGCTGTAGTTGTTGTAGCTGTAGTTGTTGTAGTTGTAGTTCTAGTTGTTGTGTAGTTGTGTAGTTGTAGTTGTAGTTGTAGTTGTAGTTGTAGTAGTAGTAGTAGTAGTTGTTGTTGTTGTTGCTGTTGTTGTTGCTGTTGCTGTTGTCGTCGAAGTTAGGGTAGTTGAGTTAGTGAAGTTAGTTAAGTTAGTCAAGTTAGTTAAGTTAGTCAAGTTAGTTAAGTTAGTCAAGTTAGTTAAGTTAATCAGTGTCTACTTTTTCGACATCTTCACGTCAAAAAAGGCTCAAAACCCTCAGTTGTTTACACTTTTGACTTCGAAATGTGCTTCGCGCCACAACGGCGTGCACTTTTTCGACATCTCAACTTCCAAAAGTGGTCCGAGACCGCCAGTTTTTAACACTTTTGACTTCGAAATGTGCTTCGCGCCACAACGGCGTGCACTTTTTCAACATCTCAACTTCCAAAAGTGGTCCGAACCTGGTGTGTTTTGTACATTTTGACTTGGAAATGTGCTTCGCGCCACGACAGCGTGCACTTTTTCGACATCTCAACTTCGAAAAGTGGTCCGAACCTGGTGTGCTTTGTACATTTTGACTTGGAAATGTGCTTCGCGCCACAACGGCGTGCACTTTTTCGACATCTCAACTTCCAAAAGTGGTCCGAACCCCTGGTGTTTTGTACATTTTGACTTGGAAATGTGCTTCGCGCCACAACGGCGTGCAATTTTTCATCTCTCGTCTGGCCAGCTGGCTCCGCACCTGCCGCTTTAGCAAGCCTACTTTTCGACCCTCCGGAGCCACAAATCATTGGAAAAACACAGTGTTTCGCGACTTTCCTACCTTTTCGCGCATCTGCATCTTCTTTCTTCTTACTCTTTCTCTTCTGATCTTCTCTCTTCTAATCTTCCTCTTCTCTCTGCCTCTGCCCTGCTCTGCTTTTCATCTGTCCATATTGTCGGAAGTTTGACTTCTAAACTTCCTTCGATGATATATAATATACTGGTTGGTGGTTTCAAGCATCTTGAAGAATATGAGTCAGTTGGGAAGGATGACATCCCATATATGAAATGGAAAATTAAAAAATGTTCCAAACCACCAACCGGTATATGATATATGATATATATATATAGATGCATCATATGGGATATCAACCATGTGCCAACCGAGATCCATAACATAGACCCGGGCAAGCCGGCGGCGGAAGTTTCCCAAACATAAATGACCTATAGTTCAAAGACAACCTGTCCCGACCGTGTCCTTCCCTCGACACTCCACACCTCACACTGCACAGTGCACTCTTCGCACTCCAAACTTCAAACTTCACACTCCACACTTCACACTCCACACTTCTCACTTCTCACTGCTTCCTTCACACTCCAAACCTCCCACTTCACACTTCACACTGCACACTTCACACTTCACAGTCCACACTTCACACTTCACACTTCACAGTCCACACTTCACACTTCACACTTCACAGTCCACACTTCTCACTTCGCACTTCACACTTCACACTTCACCCTCCACATTTCACACTTCTCACTTCTCACTGCTTCCTTCACACTCCAAACTTCACACTTCACACTTCTCACTTCGCACTTCACACTCCACACTTCACAGTCCACACTTCACACTTCTCACTTCTCACTGCTTCCTTCCCACTCCAAACTTCACACTCCAAAACTCACACTTCACACTTCTCACTTCGCACTTCGCACTCCACACTTCACTCACACTTCACACTTCACAGTCCACACTTCACACTTCTCACTGCTTCCTTCACACTTCACACTTCACACTTCACAGTCCACACTTCTCACTTCGCACTTCACACTTCACACTCCACATTTCACACTTCTCACTTCACACTTCTCACTTCTCACTGCTTCCTTCACACTCCAAACTTCACAGTCCACACTTCACACTTCTCACTTCTCACTGCTTCCTTTCCACTCCAAACTTCACACTCCAAACTTCACACTTCACACTTCTCACTTCGCACTTCACACTCCACACTTCACTCACACTTCACACTTCACAGTCCACACTTCACACTTCTCACTGCTTCCTTCACACTCCAAACCTCACACTTCACACTTCACTTCACACTGCGCTCTTCGCACTCCAAACTTAAACTTCACACTCCACACTTCGCACTTCTCACTTCCCACTGCTTCCTTCACACTGCACACTTCACACTGCACTCTTCACGCCCCACACTTCACACTGCTCTAAACCTACGTGCAACAAAAAAACACTAGCGCCAAAATGGAGAAAATCTGCTAACAAATCCATGTCGCAGCCTTCATGCAGCCACTCCAAGACGATGTACGAGATCCAGCTGCAAAAGACATTACGCATGCAGCTAAAGCAAGAAGCAACCTTGACGCAGCCATTC